CAGTGCACGGTGCCAAAAAGTAAACACACACAGACTCAGTTTTATTCGCAGTGTGTGCAAGGCACACTCACAGGTACACGTTTTCTGAAGAGCATCAGTGTGGTTTGCCGTTCGCGCGCGCCTTGGTCTTTTGCTGCTACCACACCCAAATCACGTGAAATCATCCAAATGCAAATGAAACCCTGCCGTCGTCGTACAAAACAAGGCGCACAGGAAGAGAAAGAGAGAGAGCGAGAGAAATAAAGAAATGTAAACAAAAAAGAGAACTACCAAATTATAGAGCTCATTTCGTACATGTGCTCGATAATTCTAACATAGTTGACCTCATTTTTGCACTTTTTTGCTGATTATGGTCAATACATGGTTGTTTTTCTCGGCACTGCGGACAAAAATGCCGTAGCAAAAATCTGTGGCCGTCGTGTGCGAATTATATCCTATTCACCGAAATGGCACCGGGAAAATGCTAAACTTAAAATCACTAGTTTAGAGAGCCATAGGTCGTGAACGAAGCACAAGCATAGATGAAAGTTTAATGAGTAAAAATATCGGCACGTGTCAACTATAGGGAGACGGGAGAGCACAACGAAGCAAAAGTAATTTTTCGCTGTCAAAAATATTGGGATTTACTTGGGGAAATTGTCATTGATCAATATTCTGTGATTATAAGAAAATGCTCGTTTTCCGCTCAAACACGTCCAACGTACATATATATCCGAACAAATGGCAACTTAAGTAAAAATGTACCAAGCACGGCTTATCCGGTTGTACGATTATTTTGGTAGCAAAAACTTTTTCCCCTTGCTCTTTTCATGAGCAATCGTAAAGCTGCATTCGAGCTTTGAATGTACAACAAAATGGAAATTGTTTGGTCCAATCGAAATCATAGCCTAAGGTAATTTAGTTTAGAGTGTGATCGAGACAGACACACACACAGAGAGAGAACGAGAGATGCAGAGCCGTTTTTCCGTTATTGTTGGAAAATAGTTGAAATATGCAGTTTGGTTTTCACTTCGGCCAAAAACTATTCGGTCACATCGACCGCAAAACATCTAAATCACATTAAATTATGCAGAAATCCAATACTGAACTTTTGTTAGCCGAGCACACAAAACTGAACTTCCTCAATTTCTCTGTGAAAACTCATTCCCTCGCTGCGCGCTCGGTGTCTGTTTTCTCTCTCCTACATACACTGAATTATTTTTGGGAGGGGTTCGGGAATTGTTGTAAAGATAAAAATCGCTTATTCGCTTCGTGAGCAACCAATTTTAGTGTCGTTGTCGTCGATATCTTGGCCATTTGGCTTGGAATTTCTCATTTATCTTCCTCTTGTGTGGTCAATCAACAAAACTTTTGCCATAAATACATCGATATCTATCTCTATGTGCAGCGAGAGTATGTTACTGCTGGTGCTGTGCTGTGCTTTGAGGGTGATGTTGATTGCAATAGTTTTGGCTGAGTTAGTTTACGGTTTTGATGAATTTCATCGGGAAGCGCTTCACAAAACCAAATTAAATGTACGCAAACACCCAAAAAATGAACCAGGCAAAATGCGAACGGAACAACTTTGAAAACACCCATACACACACCCGAGCGTGCGTCATTTATGTTTGTTCCACGGCAGGTGGGAATGCTTTTCGCAAGTGAAATTAAAGTATTTTCACGGTTTCCGGAGTGTGGCGAGCACTGCGCGTTCAGACTTTGGCAACGTGCTATTGTTCCACTTTGTGGCAATGAGTTTCGCTCCAATGGCGAAAATTTAATTTGAATGGAGGTGTTGGAAGCAATTTTCGCAATCGACCACAAGCTGTTCATGCATTAACTCATATTATTTGGTGTGTTTCGGGACATGACAACTTAGATGGATTTATTCATTATTGCGTGAAAGTAATAGGCGTAGATAATGGCGAAAAATGAAAGGAACACGAGATGTAATATTGATTTTATCCGAAACAAGACAAGAGCGAAGACAAAAGTGTGATGCTTTTGAATTGGAATTGGATGGCTGACATACAAAACGCAAGGCTCTCGGTGCAAAATTTATTTCGCACACAATCGGATCTAAACGCCTCTCTATTTGAATGGTTTTATGGCTTTTTGAGCACGGATTTTCCTGTGCTTTCTCTCTTTCTCCCTCTTACTCTGAATAAACCTCATAAAAACTATGTTCAATGGTGACATTTTTTCTCCGTTTCACTTCGTCGGCGTTGCTGGTGTATGTTGGATGTGTGCGTTTTAAGTAGGATTTCGACAAATAACCTGAAATTGGCTACATGAACCTATTTCAATGAGGCCTGCCGTTGTGTAGGCTGCGCAAAGCACACACACACAAATGCCACTCAATATTCGCCCGCGAGAAGGGATCATGTCATTCACAAAGTCGGAATAATTCCTTGATTCAAGGCTTATATCGCGCGGTAAACACTTATTGTCAACATAAATTTGTTATCTTCTTTGTCTCAGAGCTACCGCCATGCCATCGTATTTCTGATGGATTTGCATTCAAATAATACGCAAGTGGTGCGCGTAATCACTCATTTAGAAATGGGAAAGAACAAGTAACTAGAACAAAAGTAAAACTTAATTAGCAGCCCCAAACAAAAAAAAATGTCTGTATATCTCATTCGATGTACATTGTACATGTGTTTTTGTACATTCAACGTATGAGTGTTTCTCGGTGGCAAATGTTTCGCATTGTTACTAGGAGAATCTGGCTCATTTATGGTGAAGTTACGCTTACACGTGAATATACCAGTTTTCTATATGTTGGATTGGTTGATTTTTTCTCCCGAGCGATGATGGCAGCAAATCATATGAGTTTATTGCAACTTCATATTTGATTGTCCAAATTTGAACATGTTCGCATTTCATATTCCAATATCAAAGCCACAACGAAATGACGCACATGGAATTTCGCTTCGACTTCGAATTTCTTTTGCAATTTTTTTTCGCTTGTTCGCAACCGCGTGCGTGCGATCGGTGTGCCAGAGCTTGTTTATAGGGTAACTTTTTTAATTAATCAATCCGAGTGGCTCTTGTGAATAAAACCGAATGAAACCAAACCAACCAAACAAACTAAATACACTTCGCGAGTATAAGCGCGAATAGTCGAAACAAACTGATCCTATATATTTTGAAGTAAATAACCAACATCAAAATGATGATTACATACCGACATTTTTAGATGGACGCGTAATATGCCGTCGAAAAAAGACAGCTGAATGCAAACAAAAAACCAATGAGTGACATATCATGTTTATTAAAGTAGATCAAAACCAAAACATGTGTACCTCTAACACAATGGCTAACGCAAACATGCATTTTTGATGGTAATTTTATTTTCAGGAAAAAAGAATTCGACGGTTTGTTTCAACGACGGTTCACTTTTTGTTACTTTCGATGCATGGCTCAACGCGCGACTGCAATCTATTCGACGTTTTCAGGCCGAAGAGTTCGAGCGAACGCGCACTCTATACATTTTGATTTGACTGCCTCAAGCTTGGCTTTGAGATATAAAAACTGTTGAAACTACGAGAAAAAAAACATTTGCCCATGATTATGTCAATCTTTCCTTTTTTCGCCCAGGAAAAAAAACACACCTTCCGCATTGAACTTTTTTCTCTCCAACGTGGAATGAAATAAACCCCAAAAAACCACACAGTTTCCATTTTCCTCGATGTGTTTTCCCTTGAAATTGCATGCGATACTTTTTTTCTCGCTCCACTTGGTAAATAAAATGTTTCATTACGCTTATCCGCCAATTGTCGGCTGAGCATACAATGTTTGTTGATTTTTAATTTTTTTTTCTCATCCTCCTCAAGTGTGTACAAACAGTTGCAGCAGGATTTATTCGCCCCATCCCTCTTGTTTCTCTCTTTGTCGCTCTGAAATTCTAAGCAATTACCAGTTGCGTGCAATTCATTGCTTTCCTCGCTCACTGCTAGTCTATAGGAGCAATAGAATAAAGTATGCTGCGAGCAGCGAGCTCGTACTTTTTTCTGGCCTCTTTCTCTCTTAATATGAAAACAAAAACCGGAAATTATGTCAATTAATGTTCTCTAATAGCTAGATGTTGTTTTGAAATTTTTATTTGTTTGATTTTTGTATTTTGTAGCGATTTTGTGTGTATATGTGTGTGTGTGTGCATGAAAAGAAAAACTTTTTCATATATTGACGATGGAAAAGGCATTTGATTCATTCATTCCAAGTGGATGTGTTCAAGTGGCATTGATGTGTAAAAAAAGTACAAGCTTGTCGTTAATAAATATGTTATAGAGATTTTTTGAGAGCCCCAGTGCTGAAGTCTCAACGTTCTAGTCATCGGCATATATTTCGTGGCCACATTCATGGAACATGAACATGTTGCAATCGCATCTTTTTGCCAAACTGAATAAATTCTATCGTGTGGATCGTTGAATCCACATTCTTTCCATGTTTTTTTTTTCGTTTACCAAATTCAGATATAAATAGAAGCAAATGTGCCAATAGCAACGATAAAAAGTTTTTCTTTTCAGTATTCGAAAAAGTTTTCTAATGATTTTCATGTTGTATATGTAATTTTCGATGCTATGTAGAGAATCTCTGTGTTTTTCTTTCTTTCTTTTTATATATATATATATATCTGTCCCGCTGAAACTCATGATTCGATTAAGTCAAGGTTTTAGGTAATAAGTATTTTTTTCTCGGGTAAAACAGTAACCACTTTTGTACATAGAATCTTATTTTCAGTTAAGTTGAATGAAGAACAACATCAACAAAAAAAACATATAAACACATAGAACATAAAAATTAATAATTGATACTAACTTTGGGATTTGTATTCTTTTTTTTTTTCGTTCGCATCGCTAAATGATGATGCTGTTGCCGTGTGTATACCATATTTGCGCGCGTCTGTAACATAAATCTCTGAACGTATCCAATTATCGGATACATGTCTTGGTGCCATGGATTCTAACTGCTGTTGCTGCCATCATCTCGCCTAATCGAATAACACACATGCACAGGGCCAAGAAATACCGATATATATTTGGTACGAAAATTATCCAACCCATAGCGGAGAAGGTTACGAAGGACGTGTATCGCGCGTATCACCCGACTCACCGTTCGGTGCAGCCTCCCTCAATTTGACCAATATTCGCGAAAGTGATCAAGGATGGTACGAATGTAAAGTGGTATTCCTGAATCGATCGCCCAATCAGCATAAAAACGGTTCATGGTTCCATTTGGATGTTCATGCACCGCCACGTTTTAGTGTTACTCCAGAAGATATAGTTTATGTAAATTTAGGTAAGTTCGTCTTTTTTTCCATCAGTTATTATCGAATTGTTCAAAAGCTCGGCTCAAATTATCTCCAACTTTTCTTATCCGTTAAATTATTTCATCGGAAGAGACAGAATGAGATTATTGCTTAGAAATATCGTTTGCTAATCAAGCCTATAAATATTGATCTTGGTCGATCAATTTTGGCCACCGCCATCACCACCGAAAATTATTTTCCTGTCTTCGGGCGTTTTGAATGCGTAATTTATACGTGCGTTACTTTCGCGAATCTACTCCCATTACGAATTAATTATCCTTTTTATTCCTTTGGACCTACAACACGCTATACGCCATCATCAACATCGGTAAACAAAAACAACATATATTTTATCATCGTTTACCGATTTTTCATTAAGTCGCATTAATGTTAACGCCAATTTATACTTTCTAAACGGTCGAGGTGATTATAATCGTTGCTGGACGACTCACACCATTACCATTGTAGCCGTCAGCCATGACACATAGCACACAAACATACAAAGCGAGAGATAGAGAGAGAGAGAGAGAGAGAGAGAGAGAGAGAGAGAGAGTGAGAGAGAGAGAGAGTGAGTGAGAGCGCACTGAGTAAACAAGCACACAACACTGGCTAACGATTTTACCGTTTCGAATGTGTGCTGTGTACGCGCGCTGGATAATGAATATCACAACAATTTATCTTGGTAATGAGAAAAAATGGGTGATTTGTTGTTTTTTACGTGGATTTTATGGTTGCAAACCATATACCATTTGGCAGTTGTTCGGTGTATGTGTGTGTATGGGCCTGTTTTTTCTCCTTCTCTCACGCCCATTCTTTTTCGTGTGAGCGTTCCTTTTCTTAGCGTTTGTCTAACTCAATTGCCATTATTTTCGAGAAAAAAAAACGAATTATTTGACCCTTTTTATGACTGGCAAAGCCAATGTTTTCCTTTCATTTTGCAATGTGTATTTAGGAGTTCAATTTATACCCCGTAATGACGTTCGTTACGCTATACTTAATTTTTTTTTTAATGGCACTGTTTAAGTGAGTGAATTCGGCATTGAAAGCGCATAATAGAGTTTATTTGCGAAATTAGAACGGCAGCTTTTTTTCCGTACTCACTCCCTCGCCTCATTCCACTCCTTTCTCACCATATCTCTGACTCGATCATTTTCTCTCTTACTCTCTGCCTCCTTTTTTGCTCACACATACACACATACTCACTCCATCATTGCTACAATTTCGGCGTTGTTCAAATACCTACCTTGCGGTCGGAGACGTTGGCTTCACAAAAATGTTCCAACTGCAACATTAATTTACACATTGGAATTTTTGGCGCATATTATACGGATTCTAAGCCTCTTTCGACACGCTTAATTATTATTCGAATTGCTATTTTGCTAAATCAACTCAGCAGTTATTTGAAATTAATAACCAATCTGCCAACAATTTTGATGGTTTTTTCTCCTCCTGGATGGAAAATTTGCATGAACTCATTCGAAGCATAAGAAAATACCTTCAACTGAATGGATGTTTTGAAATTGTTCTAGTGTAAGAAAACGATATTTCGAATTCAAGTGACGTTTCACTCGATTTTCTGCTCGCTAGATGAGTGTGCTTTTACATAAATTATATGTTATAACAAACATGATGTTATAACTAAAATGATATATAAATAAATAATAGACGTGTGTAACGTTAAAAAAAAGTATGGCAAAGGCAAACTGAGCCTAAGCTCAGCCAACATTAAAAGAATATACATGTACGATGTTGAGATGTTGCGATGCGAAGAATAGAAGCAAGAGTGAAAGAAAGCGATAGAGAGCGAGTGAGTCGTTTTTTGATGAGATTTGATTGTGAGCATGCTGTGCGGAATAAATTTCAAGTGAGGGAAAAGTCACAGGCACCACCAATGTGAAAGTTAAATAGAGTGTGGTTGGTAATGGAAACTACGAGTACATTACAAGCGCAAAAATGTCATTCCTATATATACGTGTATATCCTTCTTTGCGAGAAAAAAAAGAACGCAAAGCCGAAGAAGACAACATTTCAAGCCATTCCGAAGCGAAATAGATGTGTGTATTATTCATACTTGTACCGACTTTGTGTCTCGACTTTTCTACCTTCGGGCAAATCATTTAGTGAGTATACTTGTTCAAAATTGAAAGAGACTTGAATGTTTGATATGTATAAACGCGAAAAAAATATGCGCGACGGTAGAAAATCGAAAATTGTTGGCTGTTACCACCACTGCCAGCACCCCACCAATTCTGCTGTCAATGTGGGAAATATGAAGCGCGAAAAGTGTATACGAATGCCTTGTAGTACAATTAAAACGTTTACAATGTGCTTCGTTCAGCGTAAAATATGTCTAATAGAAAGTTTTCGGATGCACCGTGCCTCACCGTGGGAGAGATTTTGTCTCGAATTTTGGGCTTGAAAACAATTTATTTTGTGTGTTGTTGCCGCCGCCGCCGCACAGTTGTCTTACTTTTCGCATTCAACTGAAAACACACCAATCAAATGGAATTGAAACGATGGGGGTGGAAAAGTCGAAACAGCCGAACATCGCTCGGTGAGAAGATACATACACATCGTATGTGTGTGATCTAATGCTCGCTTGTTCGAATGAATGGGAAATATGTGTTGGCTTAAATGTTGAACTCTCGGCAGAAGTTATTTCGTTGCGAATCGGAATTTTCACATTTTATTGACTCTGCATCACACTTACACAATTCGGCTTGGCGCATACAATTATTTTCGCTGAACTTAGAGTATGTGCTGTTCGAAGTTCGATGAGGATTCTTTTTTTGCACGCTAACACCAACTGTATGAAACTTAACATTCAGCCAAGAGTGTGTGTTTATTATACGCGCAAAGAAGAGATATCGACTAGATGAAGCTTGGAATCCGTCGCATTAAAAGTGTCAAATAGAAAGCTAGTTGGAATTTTCCAACTCGAACATCGTTATATTTTATACACGACCGATTCCCATTCTCTCGATTCCCATTTTCCTCCGTTTATCTCTTCATTTTTAGTTCGGATTCAGTGGAAAAGGACGTGTGTGTGTGTGTGTGTGTTTGTGAATGGATGTTTTCGCATGAGAGAACCGCAACAGTTATGAGATGATAGCAGTCGATGACACATTCCAATTAAGTCAATTTTAAAATTGTGTGTTTCGTATATATGTGCTCTTCATTTCAGTGTTTTGCAACATACACAGGGAGCAAGAGATAGCGACTTATGCCATGGCAATCTCACAATCGTTACACCAATCGTAATAGACACACACTCAGGCTTTAACAGCGACAATCATATTGCTGTCGGCACACACAGCGTGGACTGAAAAAAAAAGAGAAACGACAACAGCCATGCAAATGAGAGCACACTGAATCGTTATTACTGTTTGCCTTTTCCATATCTATGTATAATGGATTTATTAAAAGCAAAACAACGAATGTAAAAGCTCTCCCAATCTCTCTCTCTCTCTCTCTCTTTGCTCATAAAAAACGGCAAATACGACACACAACAGCGTACACACAACACACAATCCTTTCGGTTGTCGTTCGTTTGCATCTCTCCACAATTAGAACTAATATACGTTTGTTGATTGTCCTTTGCATAAAATTGTGTCATCCCTCACGCGTCTCATCAAAAATAATTACTCTTGCACGATTGCAAAATGTGTGTGTCTCTTTCGCTCCCTCACTCTCTCTCTCTTTCTCTCTCTCTCTCTCTCTTTTTCTCTTCTCTTGGTTTCGTTTTAATTTCAATTTTCAAGTTGATTTTAGTTAATTTGAAAACTTTTTCCCAAGCCATCATCAAGTCAGTTCGATGCCGATGCTGCATCTCTCTCTCTCTCTCTCTCTCTCTCTCTCTCTCTCTTCGAATATATATTGCCATCAGGTATATACATATGTATCTGATGATATGGTTGCAAAAGCACGTCCCACTCTCGTTTGATTAGTTTTTTAGTGGTATTTTGTCGCTTCCGTTTGGTGTGTCGCTTCATCTGTTACTTCAATTCATATAGCGTTGAATTGTGTGAACATCGAAATTAAAACGGATTCGTACTTCTACTGTGACTGTGTGTGAACGCGAGTGAGCGAGCGGGCGCAATGCGTGGATATGTACTTTATCGTTTAACTAGGTTCATTTTGGCAGCAAACAATTGAACATGAAATATTGTCATCACATGATATTCTCACTAGGTACAGCACACCATTCGCTCCCGATCATCCAGTGCAAATATACACATTCAAAATAATTATGCCATTTGAATGCTTGCGCACATTCTATCTCCCGCTACCACCACCACCATCACCGTTGCCGTCACTTCGACTCGATTTTAAATATCGCATTTATAATTCAAACCAGCCTCTGTCTCTGTGCTCTTACTGTGATTTGTCGCGCGCACCAAACGACAACAAATCAAATGGGAATACACTACACACGGTGTATTGTATATACGCCAGGAATATGATAGCAGAAAAACATACACCGAATATTGTATGAAACGGTTGAAGAGCTTCACATGCACAAAACTTGGCTTCATTCACTCTCAACGATAAATTTCGTACAATTTTTTGATTGCGTTTAATTTCCATGAAATGAAAGTCTTCTCTGTCTGTCTCGCACACAAGCCGAAAAAAAACCCATTATTTTTTATTGCCCTATTTAAAGAAACCATTTAAAAAAATATCTATGTTTTTTTTTCGTTGTGCGCATCGTTTTAGGTGATTCCATCATTCAGGTTTGTATATAGTTACACAAAATCGATATGTTGATAATATAATATTTCTGTTAATAACGATATTAATATGGTTAAATTTATAGGTTTGCAACGCCGAGGGCACACCGACTCCTGAGATACTTTGGTCCGTAACAAGCTTCCTTTCTTATAAAATCATGACTCGAGTGCACTTGCACTAAGATTAAAGCACTTGGAATAAGTTTAAAAATAATTTTTCATTCGTATTCTCCCATATCTATAGGTACAAAGATGCTAATCCAGTCGATCCATCTTCTACTGTTGGTATTTTCAACGATGGCACCGAGCTTCGTATCTCCACAATCCGTCACGAAGACATCGGCGACTACACGTGTATCGCACGCAATGGTGAGGGGCAAGTCTCTCATACAGCTCGCGTTATAATAGCGGGCGGCGCTGTGATTATGGTAACAACAAACAATTACTTCTGATTGCAACAAAACAGTCTGTCTGTCTATGTTTTTTTCTCTTCTGTTCCGTTCAAAGAATGAAACGTACACACACTCCCCCCCGATTAACAACAAGCAACCAAAACCTTAACCAAAAACCAAGCCAATTAACTATTCAAATGTTATGTTCTTATCTTACTGATTGCCAAAACACAAAAAAAAAGAAATGAAACTAACAAACCAATTGTGTGACGCGTTTTTCCATTTTCGTTCATTTTGTTTACTGCTTTTTGTTTATTTGTGACGTCATTTGGCCGTTGTATTTTTTTTTCGTCTTTGTTGTTGTGTATCCTTCGTTAAACGCTCGTTATTTTTCATTTGATTTCACGGTTTTTTGTTTCATTTTTTTCGATGTAGCACGAATCGTTTCGCATACACGAAATTCCAAAAGCTCAAGAAAATCCAGACAGCAACCAAAAAAAAATTGCATTCATTGATACTCAACCTACATGGTTAACTCCGGCAAATGGATTTCAATCAAAATTTTTCGAAACGGATTTAAAATTTGAGTTCGGCCAACGGGCCAACGCATACAAATTAATTTTATTACCCGATTTAAATGGGATTACAACCTATCGATTTATTTTTAAATACAGCCAATCTTGCTGTTGTTGTTCGCTCCCACTCGCTGGCAGCGCTGCTGGAGCGATATGAAGAGCAATTTCATGAATGAATTTACTTTGAATTCGATTTCGATGCGAAAAAAAAATAAATGAAAATTAAGAATCGATATGAAATCACATACATTTGCTCACTGTTCCACACATCGAACAGGATGTGGAACTCCCACAGGACAGCCCTTTATTTTTCCTCTTTCGTTTCGTTTGCAAACCCCGTTTTTTTTCTGTTTTTCATTTCGATTGTATTTTATTTTGCAAAGAACTTTGTGTTTTTTTTCGTTATGTATTCGTGGTGATGTGCATCGTCGTCGATCGACACCGCACATTCAATTGAATGTTCAATGATTCCGATTTTTTTCTTGTTACTTCAAACAAAAGCAAAAATGACCAGCCAAAGGTGGTCTATGTGTGTGTGTGTGAGTTTTGCATTTATTCATGAAATTCAATTTGATGCTGCACTTCAGGAAATCAAATCCAAGGGCACAATGAGAATCCAAGCTCTCCAACTGGTTTTTATTCCGACCATTTTATTTTCTCTGTCTTTCTCTCTCTCTTCTTCGGAACAACGACAACCAACGACAACGACGATGTGGACGCGGATAACTAATTCCAAATAGAAATACAGAATTTATGCGCTGACCCGCTACAAAGCTTCCATTTTATTTTTACTACTTGTATACTTCTCGTTCTTTTTCTCATATATATATATGTATATATATATATATATATATATATATCCATCTGAACAAACTGGCACCACAACAAACCAGCAAAACAAATCTCATGAATTCGCATTCATTCAGTCCATCATTTTTTTTTTAACAATACACACACACTGTTATAAATAGATTCATTCAGAATTCTTATTCATAGAATTGTACACACACTCAAGCACGATATCATACAAATACAGCGAATAATAACAAAAAACCAACAACAACACACACACTCTCACCCAAGTTGAGCAAGCAACAACAAAATTCCATCTTTTTTTATTGCAAAAAAAAATCATCAGCCCAATAAAAATCACTATTCATACTGACTTGAATGGGGTCTAAGTTAACATTGTTGATATAACACAAGCGAAACAATGGGAAAACCAACCATTTTTTTCTCGATGCCAAAATATTGAACATTTCACGGAAAATTTTCATTGAATCAAGTAAACAGTAGAAAAAAAAATACATAAAATAATTCTCTCATGGCTTTGGACTCTTGAATACTTGTTAGAGTGGCATAAAAAGCCCATATCCCCCCTACGAGAATCATTGCGAGGATAATCCATAGCGTCGAACAGCAACCTTATTCATTTATGCTATTTTATAAACAAATTCCAGCTTCGATATCAGAATTAAAAAGTCAATCAAAGTCGAAACAGAAAAAAATGATCCAATCGCCTCCCATCAACCAAGTTTCTGGAACTTCCATAAAATGTAGACAACACTTGAAATCCGAGCACTCCACAAATAGAGCCATCATCGAGAAACTCGAGCACTGTATCCAAGTAACATGCAAATAATCTCGTCTAATTTTTCGACTTGTTAAAAATGTAAACATTTCCATGGAATAATAATTGAGCCTTGGACTTATTAGTCGATAATAATTGGTTTCAATTAACATTTTCGTCGGTTGCTTAGCAATTTGATCGACCAGAGTAAAAATGGGAGAGAGAAAGAAAAAAGGAAGGGAAGTGGCACATTATGTGTATCGGAAAACAATGTATGAAAATTGTAAATTGTCTGTACCGCCGTTGGTGTCAGTGTAAAAGATTATCAAATGAAAAATGCCGATAATGCGGCTATTATTTTCACATTGTTGCATGTTCCTCTCAATGGCATAACATATTTCAACAGTGTCGGGATAATTACGGAATTTAATAATAATAATATTCTCTCTCACCCAGTATTTTTTTCCCGTTTCATTTCATTTCATTGATTGATGGGAAAATGGCGATATTTTTCTATAGAAAATTAAAATCGAATGGCGACACAAATTCCGATATAATAATGACAGAATGTTTGCACCCTCACGCGCCAGCTCGCGCGCATTTTCGGAATGAATTGAAGGCGTGTTTGTTATGGTTTTTCCACATAAAATTGATTTCAACTTGTACATAAAAAAACGTTTACTTGTTTGAATCGTCAACATGTTGTCGCCTGATTTCACATCTCTCGCCTCTTTCGGGTCATTCATTCCCTCGATTCGTTCGTTCGTTTGTTTTTTTTTCCATGTTCTGGCACATTTTTATAGGGATGTCACATTAAATAAAATCGCCCATGTGCCATTTTAAATTCCATCCATGAGAGTGAATTCCAGTAGGTTTCATATTGTTTTCTTCTTTGTTCGCAATTTAATTATTAATTTGACCGAAATGATTTTAATTGAATGTCTCTCTCACATATATTCAATTCATGTCCCATAAGACATTCCATTTGGTGTTTTTATTCATGTTTTTTTCTCACTTGTGTTTATTCTCCATTTATTTTATGTGTTTTTTCCCCCTCTGTATTTGTTGGTTTTAATTAATTTTTCTGTATTGTGTGTCACTTGAAAGCATCACATTATATCCCATAATCAATTCCAAATTAAATGTGTGCTGTAATCATATCCAGAACAATTTCCTCCTTTTTCTATCAATTTTCTTTCTCTTTCTCTCATGGTTGCACATAAATTGTTTTTTATTTTCGCTCTCTTTGTTGCTCAATTTGAATCGTTTTGCATCGAAATAATGACACACAATGTGTGTGTGTGTATGATGTCTTTGTTTTGTACAGGTGCCGCCTACTAATCAAACAAAATTAGAAGGTGAAAAAGCGATATTTACATGCGAAGCGAAAGCAATGCCCGGCAATGTGACGGTGCGCTGGTTTCGTGAAGGTTCACCAGTACGCGAGGTGGCCTCACTTGAAACCCGTGTCACCATTCGCAAAGACGGTTCGCTAATCATCAATCCGGTCAGCGCTGACGATTCCGGTCAATATTTATGCGAAGTGTCCAACGGCATCGGTGATCCACAAAGTGCTTCGGCCTATCTAAATGTTGAATGTAAGTTGAGTGCATGTGTGTTTAATTTATTATGCTGTGACTTTTCACAGCTTTGCAATTTGAAAGAAAATCATTTTAAATTGCAAATTTTCTCTCTTTTCCTCTTTCACTTCACTTTTATGCGCACGCACACGCCCCATTTGTAGATCCAGCAAAAGTGACATTTACACCGACCGTTCAATACCTTCCATTCCGATTAGCCGGTGTTGTTCAGTGTTACATCAAAGCAAATCCACCGTTGCAATATGTAACATGGACAAAAGACAAACGGCTACTGGAGCCATATCAGACGAAGGACATTGTTATTATGAATAATGGATCGTTGTTATTCACGCGAGTAAATCAAAATCATCAGGGTCGTTACACATGTACTCCATACAATGCACAAGGTACACAAGGCTCATCGGGTGCAATGGAAGTGTTAGTACGAAAACCGCCTGTGTTCACCATCGAACCCGAATTGCTCTATCAGCGTAAAGTTGGCGAATCGGTGGAAATGAGTTGCGATGCTCAGGAAGCCGAAGGCACACAACGGCCCAATATTCAATGGCTGCGTCGAGGTTTGTTTCACACTTTTTCTCTCTCTCTCTCTCTCTCTTTAAAATTTCGCACCACATTTTAAATGGTCGCAATGAAAATGAACTCTAAATAAATATGTATGTCTTTATTTTCATTACGAATTTTCTCGATCGAAATGAAATTTTGTCAACTCTATTTTGCACAGATGGAATGCCATTACAACGAAATCGTGTCAAATCATCCGGTGGAAATATTACCATCGAAAATTTGCGTCGTTCTGATTTTGGTTTCTATCAATGTGTCGTATCGAATGAGGTGGCAACCATCGTGTCGGGCACACAGTTGGTGATCGAAGGCACACAACCGCATGCACCCTACAATGTATCTGGCATTGCGACCGAAAATTCAATTACTATCACATGGATGCCCGGCTACAGTGGCGGTCCCGATTACAAGCAAGACTATACGCTATGGTATAGGGAGGCTGGCATCAGTGAATGGTCAACCATCCAAGTCACTCCATCTGGCAGCACTTCCGTTACAATTAACGATTTAACACCCGGTAAAACGTACGAATTCCAAGTGGTGGGCAAAAATGCACTCGGCGATGGTATGATGAGTAAATTGATTACTATCCGAACACTCGGTAAGTTAAATGCATTTAGTCAAAAATTCCAAATTTCCCGTTACATAATGTCACATGGCATATATATTTTGCATTTCGATGATAAAATGCTGACGATCAAAATCACAATTGACACAATGATGAAATTCTAAATAAAATGATAAAATGTATTCAGAAACGAAGCCACCAAATAATGTGAAGTCACCAGTATCGACAACTACTCCAAATATAAGAGATTTCCCAGTAATGCCAGATACAGCTGGTAAGAGTCGCACTTCCATCTCTCAATCAATTCCCAAAACTAAATTAGCTTTTACTCTGTGTCTCTGTATATGTGTCTGCTGAATAAATGTGTAAAATTGAAAAAGAAATCCCTTTTGTACGAAAAAAAAAACGGTCCATTTCTGTGTGTTGGTGTATTTAATAAGATGCCCATATCAAAGGCATCTCAAAACGTTTAAACCATTTTCCCCCATTTAGACGAATAAAACAAGAATAAAGCCTCTTTTTTCTTTCTTTTATTTTTCATTTGGTTGAAATCAGTTCGAAAAAAAGGCTCAAAATCTAAGCTATGATACCAGCTTTGCTTTGCATGTTCCAATATTCATATCTAAACCAGCAAATTTATGCACGCTTCACTTAAACTATGGCCAATGTTCAAACGGCTTTTGAATACGTTCTTTTTAATTAGATTCCATTTTCTCAAACGCATTTTTCGCATCGTTTCTGCACATTAATAACATCTGCGTATAACTTATTCATCCTTGTGTTCATTCGGTCATTATTTCTCATTTTCCGATACACATGCCACATAATTCATACGTTTTGTGCTCATTCCTTTGAATGGGCGCGTACGCTTTCATTTTCAGATTTGAACAGTAGCAATCATTTCATTTATAATTCAGTTAATTCAATTGGTTCGACTCAGTTTCCATCCACATTGAAAGGTATTTTATGTTTTGCTTTTATTTTGATTTTCTATTTTGCTTTGCCGTGTTTAAAAGTTTTCCGTTTCTCGTTTTACTCTTTTCGTTTGCTCATTTTCTTGCTCATCCTTCTCATGTCATCTCATGTTCAATAGCACTTAAAGATCTGTGTAGTAAGATTGCATGCACATTTTGTGTGTTTGGAATTCAAGAGGATGTTTGGTGATAGTTTTGTGCTTAATAAAGTTGAAAATACGACTTTTATGTCGATTGTCGTTTATTTATATACCTGTAGACTCGGTACCGTAAATCCATTAAAAAGAAAAGGGAGAGAATATCTCCGGGTAGAGAAACTTGACAATGCTATTGTTTTTTTTCTCCTGTGCTTTTGGTTGCTTGGATAGTTGGTTCGGCTTGCTGTTATGTGATTAACCGCACGATGGCAAGTATTTCGCACAAACAAATGAAATTATTTTAGTGACTGTGCTGTTTTGTTCATTGCAAATGAATTGTGCACCGTCGGAGTTTAATGTAAGGATTTTTCGGGGTCGAGCCGAACAACGGGTTGGTTCCTGTGTGAATTTTAGTGATTCATTGTTGTTTGTTGTATGTTGAATTGTTGTGTGTATGTTAACCCTGAAACTCGACAATTGCATCGATAGAGCAGATGTAATAACAACAATAATAATTACCACACTACGATGAAAACACAACCAAAAAGCTGAAGATCCAAAATGTCGTGCGTCATGAAATACATTTCGTTTGTTTGTTGCCATTCATTCATTTCATCCATTTGTGGACTTGCATACAAACACACATACACCAAATATATCTAAGCGAGAAATACAAACAATATTGCACAACTCGACTCACATACACAAACAAAGTGATGGTGTCCCATTGAAAATGACAAAACGAAAGCAACCAAAAGAAAGCATAAACAAAACCACACAAAATAATAGCATTGCATGTGCTGAAGCTGCCTATAACACACGTACGAATGTGCGCTGAACGAAGAGTGGCAAGGCAATTTTAGGCATTTTAATTGTTTTTAGTATAATTTTGACTTTGAATTTTAAACAATAGACCATTTAAATGTTAGTAGAAGTTTTGATGTTTTGTACTCTCTGTCTTTCTCTCTATTCTTACATTTCCAAACTGTAATTTTCCGTGTATATTCATAGGCTGTTAAGAATAGATTGCTTGATTTTTCTATTACATTTCATCATAATAATCCAATTTTCTTTTCTTTTTCTTTTTCCTCCCACTTTGTTGCTTGCTCGATGTGGCGACAACAAATATTTTTTTCTTTATTCGGTGTCAACAACCAATTTTATTAGGTCCAAAGCCTGGTCAACCACGTAATGTGACTGTAACTGAGTTGCCAAATGGATTTATTATATCATGGCAAGAACCATTGGAACGTACATCGCTCATTCAACACTACACGATCAGGTATCGTATGGATGCACAATGGAGAACACTAAACCGGGGTCAGATTCGTCCAGTTGATACACAGTATTTCGTGAAAAGTTTAGTCGGTGGCCGAACATATTATTTCCGTGTACTGGCTCATTCGCAAAGCAGTTTCGAATCAAGCGATGAAGTAAAATATCCGGTACCGGCACGTGTTAAGCATAAAGCTATAATGGCCGCTGTTGTTGGTGGCATACTATTTTTTATCGTTGCAATCATTCTATCTATTTGTGCTGTAAAAATTTGTAATCAGCGTAAACGTCGAAAACAGGAAAAAGGTGAGATCCATTTATTGTGTCCAATTTTGTTATGTGTGCGAACGCCTTTTTAGTCAAGGTGTATACATGTCGAATCTACTACTACTACTACTACTACTAACTACTAACTACTACTACTAACAAACAAATAAGCAGACAAACAACAACATACATACCTTCCTTTCCCCTCGCTTTCTCTCGAACAAAAAAAATAAACTAACTCTATCTTGCCCTCCCGCCAAAAACAATTTTCGTTGCTCTTTATCGACTAATCCATTACGTACCATATTAGTGCAAACGGCTGCAGAAAAAAAGAACTTTGGAAAATAATAATAATTAGTCAGCTAATTGGAAGGAAAACAACGAAAATTAAATGGCAATTTGAAATTTAACACAAAAAAAGAAGAAAATTCTTAATAATCGCGATCCATCCTACTGTCCGCCTCAAACCTCTGCATCTGCATCTCTGTGTGTGTTTAGTAGATATCAAAAAATAAATAAAACCGTAAAACTTAATCGTAGAGCATGTATACCAATCTTGATGTTGATTAATTTAAATAAGCAACGACGTACGTGTGTGTTTTTTTTTTCTTAAGTTGTATAAGCTAATCAATTACGAAAGGATCAAATTGTTGGTGTGATGGGTAAAATAACGAATATACGTGTTATCTTCGTTCGCCTCTCCACAGAAACGTAACTATATTCAATTTTCAGTTTCATTACGAATTATGATGCTAGACAATTTTATCACATCCGCACTAGAACGCATCTTATTAAAGAGTCATCCACTTTGAACATGCATTTTTTGTATCTCTCTCTCTCTTTCTTCCTCACTCTCTCACGCTCTCTTCACATCATTCCGTTGTACATATACTTCGCTCGACTTTTTGATCGCTCATTTCATTTTGCACAATATGAAGTCATCCATTTTGACACGGTAATCAACTATACCAGACACACTCATCCGCGTTCTCCTCACACACTCTCTCTCTCACGCTGCGGCAGTGCCATGTGTTGCTTAATTTCAAGAAAATTGAAAAATAATTTACACAACTGAACTGAAATAATTTGATTCGATTATCGTAACGCGCCCGGGAAGACTCGGCTAACGAAGACGACGATGAAAATAATGGGCCGTTGCTGGGAAGGACGAAGAAAAATGTGGAAAAAAATAGACTTAGATTACGAATTATGTGTTGACAATGGTTAATAAATTATACGATGGTTTTTGAAAAGCGACGCTCAATATCGACCGAAGTCGAACAAGCTGCAAACGCTGATTCCACTGCACCCATATTACGTTTTTCTCATTTGGTTGCGAAAATTGTGTTTGTATTGTATACACGCTGCCAATGGTATCGATTAATGCTCGGAAATTGACTGTTCAAACAAGCTCCATTGAGACGTCACTCAATACACAAAAACATGACTCGATAATAATGATGAGAGCAACGACTTTTTTTTTCTCTTCCATTCATTGTACCAACTGACTAATTAGAGTTTTTATAAGGACTGACCATGGAAAAACACGATTGTATTCATTTTCTTATCAAACGGGAAAACATTAATCATCAAAAATCAAAGCCAAATTTGTGGCCATTAATGACAAGCAAAACTAGCTGCTTTTTTTCAAGCCGTTGCCACGTTTTCGTAGGATTTCGCTCAAAGACATGGCAAAATTGAATTTTAATAAGATCAATAACCGCTTCATGTTTGACTTGAAACCTCAAGCCATAGCCCAGCATTCAAATTGGTTTTATGCTTGTTGTTCTTTTTCTGCTATCGATTTCATTCTTTCATTTCTTCCTCTTCTTCGTCTTTTTTCGTCCTCCTTCTTCTTCCGACGACTGCATTTCACAAAACTGTCAGGCACAAATTCTCCAAGGTATACAATTTTCTACATGATACACGTGAAAAGCCAACAAAGTTAATTTCTGGAGAGAGAAAAAAGGGAAAACAATCGATGGCGTTACCGTCTTTGTGTCGAAAGGCCTCTATCTTCCCTTCTGAAAAGTCACAAAAATGAAAGTGTAACTGGGAGTAGTCTGTTGCTTTTTTGGTGTGCGCGCGGCGCAAGCAAATGACATGCACTTGTTTTTGCCCTACGTATATCTTTATTCTATTTGTTGCTCAATTCCGTCGGTTCACAAGAAGTGAAGCTTGGAAATGGAAATGGGATTTTTTCCGAGTCATTGTTTTTGCTGCTGTTGGCTGTAAATATGGGATTTTGTTCTTTAGCCACTTTTATTTTGTCGCCTTTTTTTGCTCTCTCTCCTTGTACTCCACTTTTCTTTGTGTATATGAGTCGATTGATTCATATACTTTGGTATAGTTTCGTCGCATCAAAACAATGAACATCTCGAACGATGTGGAAGAAAACGACACCAAAGACGATGTCGATGAATGTATTCACGTTTTCCAAAGAACGAGCGAAAGAGAAAAGAGCGTGCATTCAAGTGCCTTCGCCTTTTTTCTGCTCTTGCTCTCAAAGTCTGTAGGAAATGGAATGCTCCAGCTTTTCTCTATCCCATGAGTCACGCGATATGACTGCACAGCCAAAGCATAAGATCTTTATTAAAGGAAGAGTTTTGTTTTTCGGCAAAGTGTTGATTGAAAAAAAAATAGCAACCGAAACTTGGAATTAATTTTGCAGCATCTTGAATTGGTGTATGCGCTCGTCTTTGATTGTAAATTGAAAAAAAAAATGCCATTAAAGTCGAGCCAAAGAATGATAAGTAGATAAAAGAAAATCACACCGGAAGAAACAAACGGGATTGGAATGTGGCGAAGCATTGGGGGGAAAAAACCAAAAAATCATTGAATAAATAATGAGCTGGAGTGTCCAAAGTGATTTCTATCGACACACATTTAAATCCGTCCATATCGAGGCAGATCGATTGAATTCCACCATTCATTCGAAATCCGATCTATTCGGATGTGCTTTAAAATCAATCGCGTTTCGGTGTCACACCAGAAATTTGTACATAAATTCAAGCCTTCATAATGGTATGGATTTACGGTATTCCAACACCATATTTTTTTCGGTTTCAATTCGTTGTGTTCCCTTTTTTTACGCTCTCGACCGAAGCTCATGTAGCCCAGCAGTGAATTGAATTGAGCCTAAATGTATGTCGCTGCTGCCGCTGCTTTTTTTTTTCATTCGATGCCCCATTTTGTTTGCGCTCGCTCTCTGTGCCATGACTTTGTATTCCCGCAAAACCATCACCATATGAGTGTGTATTCATGCGATTGTGTGTCAGAGTAAAGCACTTAAAATTGTGTACATACTGGATCTAATAAGAAGCTTATACTAGCTTTTTGTGTATGTGTGTGTGTGTGTGTGTTCAGTTGTGTGCCTTCTTTTTTGCCAATTTAGTCGCATAAACTACCGAATTTGTACCGTGTGTGTGTTTTTTCTTCCGCACTAAATAAAGGCGAGCAGAGAGCGTCTTGTTGAGAAAGTCCGTTTGGAATCTTACACATTGAAACTTAGCATTTCCACCGTGAGCGGTGCGAATAGAAAATGGCAACAGCAACAAAGACGACGACGACGACGAAAGTGGCGGTGATGATGGCGAAACGAAAAAAAAAACAGAGAAAGCAAAACAAATCCCGTAATGGGTATGTCGTTGAAATGGCTACAACCAATTTGTCGAATTGAAATTCAATAAAATAAAATGAGATACGAGAATGAAAAAAAACACACACAACGAAAACGGGACGAGTACAAAAATTGGATAATGGAAAGCGGAACCAAACATACATACAAAATTACACATTTTTTATTTGCACACATATGTGTCTCCAATAATAAAAGAAGCGCCAACCAAACCGAACGAAGAAGAAAAAGAAATGCGAACGATTCGGTGAAGTACAGCGATGAAACGATGTAATGTTGTGTTGTGTTCAGCGACCGAACAGAAAACCTTTTGCTTGAATTATTTACATGTTTGGCGTATGGTGGAAGGAACAGCGCAGCGGATTAAAAACAAACAGCCGTATAAAATAGCTCTATTCGTTCTCGTCGTCTTTTGAAAAAAACAAAACAGAATTATGCGCTCGACAATGTGTAAAGCAAATATTTCTTCTCCTTTTTCTGGTGAACGCCCAAAGGATGAAACGTGTTGGAGTGAAGCATAAACAGAAAGAAAAATATCCATTTTTAATGCAAGCCGTTGATGTAAACAGAGTATCCATATCTAATTAAACAACAATTTAATGAGCCCCTTTTTTTTATTCATTCACCGCAAATTTTCCAGCCCAAAACACGGGACCCTTTGTTCAAATAATGCCATTACTTTTGCCACCCCCACCTTCTCTTTCTCGTTCCGTGTACGCAATTTTTTCGGACTGGGTTAATTTTCCCCGGCATTTCTCTGTATCTGTAATTATAAAGTAGTCTCTCGTTCATTCGCTATCTTACTCTGTCCATGTGCACATCGCGCATTAAAATGGCGCTTTTCTTCGAAAATAATTCAACTACAAAATGGTATGCCTTTTCATTTTCGCGACGACGACGACGATTATGATGAACATGGCAGAGCAACGAAAAAAAAAAACAACAACAACAACTGAGCACACAAGAAACGAATATTTTTATACATTTCAAAGACAGTTGAAATGTTAAAATTTTTCCGCTCGGTTTAACAACATCCAACAAATTGCCCCCAGAATTAAAAGCAGTTGAACATTAAATGGACACACGCAATGAACAAGATAACGTAGGCTTTCACAAAAGGAAGCGAACATATCGAAATGCGTAGGAGATGACTGTGTGCCTGTCTCTCTGAACACAGGTCAATATGATGTGATGATACTGACAACTTGGCTAACAAGGCTTCCAACCCAACTTGCATCTGGCCAAAAATGAAATACCTATCTGAAATGGACATATTCGCTTAAGCGAACGAACAGAGGAGGAAAAAACAACACCCACGAACAATTGCACTAATATCCAAGTAACAAACGCAATTGAATACACAAAAGCTCATTAAATGAAATCCGCGGCAAATTCAATATTGCTTTCGTCACACAGCGCTTATTCTTCCTCTCTCGCACAACATCATAATTAACGTCCATTGCTTTTTTTCTGCAATTTCCACATTTAATTCACATTTTTTTTCTCTCACTCACATCCAACGGTATTTTTTGCCAGGGCGAGGCATCAACAACAATCAAGTCAACACTTGCATTACATTTTCTTTGTTTATAGCGCGTTGATTCTCCTTACATCCGTTGCTCACAGGGAAAAAAATTTATTAATTATGAAACGTGTTGCGGTAAAAATAGAAAGCCCGACGAAAGGCGAAAAAAAAGAGTATCAAGTTGGAATATATTGTCGGTTGGCTAATTTTTTTTTTCGTCGTCGGAGGGACGATACGTTGGACGTTAATAATATGAAAGGTAAAAGCTGTTGCTGTTGAATTTTGCATAAATTTCATCGAAACAACGATGACCATACATTGTGTGTGTGTAATATTCGCTCATCATGAACGCAGCATGGTGTGGCAATAGTGAATACCATGGCGGCGGTGGCATATTCGGGATGAACAAGCACAGACACAACGTCTCAATCAGCATGTTCCCGTCGAGCTTGCGAGCGTGAGAGAGAGATAAAAATCATTAAATTTTAGATTGAAAAAAAAAAAAGAATTTTTAATGAAATAATGAAAATTTTCATCAGCATTCGTTCATGTTTCCGTTTCCCTTCAACCTCGCCGAGAAAAAATAATAATGATAATGACAATAGAAAAAGAGAGAGAAAATCATCATGAGAAAAACATATAAACGCGAAATATTGACGTCGTTTTAATGATTTTTTTTTAAAGCCGACAAAAAACAACAAAACTTAACAACAACGAGATTTAAAATGAAAAAGTGAAACAAGAAAAGGAAAACGTATACATGAGGGTAGACTTGAGGTATACACCTTGCAAAAGGCGTTCCCAAAATACCTTCAAGCTTTTACGATCAACCGGGTCCTAATTATATCACTCGATATATATGAATTAACAAACTGTGGTGTTGGTTGCATGTGGTTAAATGTTAATAGAAAATTTGTCTATTTTTTTTTTCGATTTATATATTTGATTATTAATTTTGTGGAGCAAACCAAAAAAAAAAAACAACCAATAAATTTACTAACATATTTGGTTGAAGCTTAACTAACCCAAAAAAAAGAGAGAATATATTTGATGATAATGTGTAAATGAAACAAACGCATTAAAATTCAAATTATAAATACCGAATTAAATCGATTATTATTATTATTATCAAGTATATCAGTGTCAATTGAATGAAAATTTTATACGTTAGCATTAATACAAACAGAAAAGAAAAAAAAAGAGAAAAAAACACAACCACCATATCAATTATACACACCATTCGGAAAACAATTTATATATATTAATGAGTGTGGATAGGATGGGTTATTATTACCATCATTAATTGTAGAAATTATTCGTTTGCAGCATACAACATGGTAGCGTGTAGAATAACGGATGCCCGAAATTCACATTGTCGTACGGGTTCAGCTTCCAGTAGTCATGTGCCTTTGAATAAGTAAGTATGATGGAACACATATTTAGTGGGAACATATTTGAAATTTTCAGCCGGTAACATTCGCAGCCTCGTGGTTATAAACCACATCTATTTCGCTGATTTGCCGATTCAGTCATATTGCAAACATCAAATTATGTGTTACTGCAGAGATATCACGTGTGTGTGTATGTGTGGATGGAATGAATTGATGATTTGAAATGATTGTGATGTACTACAGTCATTCTCTCCGTTGCTCTATTTCATCTATTGTAACATGTGCACTAACTGTGCATCATATTTAATTAAGGTGAGAGAACGGCTGTAGCTGTGTTCGAGTGGATCAATGTAACGAAAATTACCTTTAATTGGCGCATTCGTATCGAGTCATTCCGTCGCGATGATCTCCGCTACAAACAATACTCACCCGTTTGACAAGTGCACTTTGCTTTTGTAATGCTTTTTAATGCCGTGCACAGCTCATTAGCACTTCGCATTCAGTACCGTGGAACAACTCGATTATTCGCCATTTACACCACTTCCTCAATTAGAAAATATTCGATTTAAATTGTCTCCCCCATAACAATCTATTCGATTCAAATTGTTTACAAACAAAGAATTCATTCTATTTTTTTTTTTATCTTTTCCTTCATTCCATTCGTTTTTTCTGTGTGTGCATTCACTACATTTCGACTATAAATCAAATTAACGCACACGAAAATCAAAAAAAAAAAAAATCAAAAATCGGCACAACATCAACACATCATCTCTGTCTGTCTGTCGTCCAACAACAACAACAACCATCATCAACAGTCATAATAATTTTAGAAATGATTCTGAATATCGAGATTACGAGACCGTTTTTATAATTCCTGGACCTAGCCAATTGAAAAATCGTAAGAACATTGAACCCAAAATCGAGAAAAAAAAAAATCTTTTTCTACCCAAAAAAATGCTGTGTGTCCTTTGAGTTTTTAACAAAATTGTCTTTCGTTTAATTTCTATCCTCGTTTATTTTTCGGTTATGATTTTTGGATGCTCTTCGAATGCGTATTACATCATCATTTTTGGGTTTTGATTTATGTTTTTTTTCGTGTGTGTGAGTGTATCATTTTGGGACTTTTTAACCGATTTATATATTTATCTACCTACCCATGTTCTGTTCGGTAATAATTTGATTGACATTTCCTTGAAAATCATCCTTTTTAAATCGCTTTAAGTTGTTGTCTCTTAACCTCTTCTGCTGCTGCTGACGACGACGTTGCTACGTTCAAATTACATACAACGCTTCACTTGCCATTCAATCCATAAATGAAATGCTTCTAGCACCAATTCTTGTATTCATTTTTTGCATTGATCCTTGCTGTAGTAATGACCATATTTCCTACTTTTTTTCACTGTACATTACAAGAAAGTCATTTCGATTGCATCATCGTGTTTCTTCATTTTTCATGTAATTTTTCTCTCTATCCACATTTTGATTCTAATGGAGCTTTAGTGACTTTATGAAAGTGAATTTCATCATTCCATTCATTTTGTTTATTCTCCATTTAAAACTTGCTTAGTTTTTGTGTCATCCGTCTACAAAAAATGAGGTTTGACACTAGAAACAACAACAAAAAGGATGAGTCAGTATTTTATCACGCTCATGTTTATTACTTTATCCTCAAGACAATAGCTCCATTCACAGCTGATAAAATCCAATGAACATCTAGCAGTGAAAAAAGTTCAAGAAACGCGTTATCATTCAATGCATTCCTCTAAGTCGCGAAATAAATAATAATCCAAGTGTCCAGGCCCCTAGCATCGTCATTGCTGTAAATTTCATTTGTTATCGTTATTTTCTTTTTTGCCTTTTGTTTTGTTTCGCATCTTGCTCATCAATTTAATTAAATTCCATTCAATTGAAGACATTACGTTGTCATACGTTTCTGCGTTGCCATTCAAATCCATCAGTAAATATTATTCTTTCAATAGTTTGCTCTCGCAATTCACCACATTGTTCTATTTGTCTTGTCTCTTGTTTATTCGTGTTTTTGTGTGTGTGTGTCATTTTGCAAAGAAATTCTTTTATTAGCCCGTTGCAAAGTAACCATTGCATTGCAAGTGCAATAAAAAAAAATGCATGCCCGCGTTTCTTTTTTCTCCTCTCTGTGTACAAGAGACAACACATTTTACTCTCAATGAGACTCACTCACTCACTCACTGTCTCTATGTCTTATTTATTCATTTGCGCTTATTCAGTTTAATTTTTCGTTTTGCAAGATCTATTTGACAACGACGCGAAAGCGTGCGCTCAGTGAAATGTTGTTTACTTTGCTTTGTCGCAACAGCCAATGAAAAAGGAATGCACGTTTGAAATTATTCCCACCAGAAGGAAAAAAAAAGATGCAATTTTGATGGCAACACAAAAAAAATCGACGTGCCATGAAGGCGAAAGCAAATGTGCAAAGTGAAAATAACAACAACTATATCTATCCATAGAGCGATTGCGATTGCGATTGCGATTGCGTTGTCATTATTTGATTTCTTTACTTTGTGTTCGGTACGTGCATTTGTGTCAAGTATTATTCAAGAGGATGGTATTTTTGTATTATTATGATTTTGTGCCCTATTATTTGTCGCTCTCCGTTTGTTTTACTTTGTTTTTGGTTGTGTGCCGTGTGCCATTTTCTGAATATAATTTTCTAGTACGGGTTTTTTAATATTTCCGCTTGTTTTTATCGTTGTTGAATCAATTGCATGTAAATTCATTGTTTTTAGCTTTTGTTTTCCTGTTTATTTTGTCCTTTGCATGTAATTTTAAATTCAATAATACTAATGATATTTTTGTTTCCCCTTTCTCTCTCTCTCTCCCTCTCTCCCGTTCTTGTCTCGATGTAAAATGACAAAATTGCCATGTTGTTTTACGACAACTCTCCCTCTCCCATTGCCCACCATATAGATACCGAAGGAGTCGAATACCAGGCCTAAAAACGCTCGCTGCAATTGTACGTTGGGTTTGGCCATCGGATCGTTGCACGAACTGTCAATCAATCTATTCGATAACCCGGCCCAGTGACATGATTACAAAGAAAATCGATCAAATCCATCGGTCGACCGATGGTCGTTTCGTCATAACATATGGTTCGGATTTGGAAATTTCTCGGCCAACAAGTGCAACTGGTTCGAATTCGAGTGAAAGTGATGATGGTGGTTTTTTGCCGCGACAAGCACCGCCAGCAGCAAGTACACAACAGCAAATTGATAACAAATTGCGAACATCTTGGCGCCGGCCGCTTGTTTCATATCCAAGTGAAATGAGCTTTGGTCCAGTAACACCAACGCCTCGTCGTGCATCACATGATGGCTTATTGCGTATCGGCGACGGCGGTAGTGGCAGCAATAATGGGCAGCCGCTTCTACAAATTGTGCCAGTTGAATTGCATCCAATACCGCCAACCTATCAAAATATCGAATCATTGGATCGCAGTGCAATGCGTCATACACTTCCGTATCCACATACACCGTCGCGTGTTTCACGCATTGTATCTAGTTCACCGGCTGTTTCTAGTCCAATGGCACATTCATCAATCATTTTATCACCGCAAAGCATGTACTTTAGCGATCTATCATCGGTGCTGCAGGCAAGCTCACGTGATCGCTCATATCCGACGCCGCACAATTCGAATAACATAAGCCAATTGCGATTGCTACAAGAGCGTTACGCACAAGAGTTGCCATCGTTGCGTGCGATACACGAGGAAACGCAACGAATGGCACAACAATACAATCCATTGCATGCACAAATGCTACACACACCGTCCCAATATCTACCAAATTCATATTATCAGCCTCATTTGCATCACATGAATTATGGCCAACGGCAACAGCACCAGCAACAACCGTTGGTGCATCAAAGACCAAAATCAAGATTACTACCTCGACACGTTCGCATGGCTCGAAGTGCACCTGAACTTGGATTGCCAGCCGTTGTCAATTATATCGACACCACGATGGAAGCATCACCGGAAAGTCAATCGAGCTCAAGCGGTTTCGGCAGCCGAAACACATCACATGCCGCCCACCAGCAAAATCATAGCTCACGCTCAGGAAGCCAGCCAAGTGTTCGCAATTTACCACCGTATCGGCCACCACCACAACCATTGTACTATTACTATCCATACGATGCATCGTCAACGTCACAACATTCATCACCATACACAATGGAGCACTGGGTCGATTTAATCAAACAAATGTCCGGCAGCGGCGTCGGCGATGGTGACAGTTATTTAAATGCCACCAATAACAGCGAAACACAACGTGCAATGGATGCCAAAGCCGTTGACGTGGGCAGCGTTGATGGTCACTATGAATTCGATCCGGCCACGGCCACACCAACGCCGACTGCATCAACACCGACGGGAGCAACACGTGACGACCTCTTATTATCCACACGCGACCTTGTTCTACCAGACAATTCCCAATTTACGTTACTGCACACGCAGTCACTGCAACCGTACCAACGCAAACGCGTATCCAAATATGAAAATATGGAGGCACGAGTGCAGGCGATGAAAGAAGAATTTTATGCTTATCGAAAACGTCAAGCTATGCAAATGCAACAACATTCAAACGCCGTCACCGCCAATAAAAATAGTTCGATTGAACTAGAAAGCGCTTGTTAACTAGAATTTAAATGAAACTAAACTAAAAATGAAATGAAAATGAAAAGAAAAAAAAAACAAATATCTCTGTTCTACACACAACACACACAAAGAAAACCAACAACAAAACGATCACTCATTAACTAAGAAAAAGAAATGAAGAAAAATCTAATGTTTAAATTAAGAATGACGAGAGAAAAAAATACGCAGAAATACTGCGATTTTGAAACTTTTGAGTAACAATTCATTTTGGTAATTGTTACTCACTCACTTTCTCCTTCTCTCACCCACACAACAACAACAAATATTCACTTAACACATACAATTGAGTAGAAAAACCAATCGCGACATTTTTTAGCAGACGACGAAAGAAGAAAAAAAACAAACACTTAATTTTGAAAGACATTGAGTGATCACTGACATTGATCTCGTTATTAGAATACACACGACAACAACATGAACAACAACAACAAAAAAAAACAATTTAATTAGGATGAATATTTACTATGAATTAAATAGCGAAACATTCCGAATACGAAAAAAAAACAACTTTTTATAACAATTTTTTTTTCGATTCACTTGAAAAGACGAACATGCCGACACGGATGAGCCGAGTTCTCGATGGCTCAACGCGACGGCAACTTTATTGACTCATGGAAAATGGAATTACTATTGGTTTCAAACTAAAAACATGTTAAAACAAACATTGTGTCGGAATGGAAAAGTCATCCTCTTGTCATCTATCACCTCCAGTCAATGTGCAAGAATCACCCTCTCTTTCCCCATCCCGCTTCGTAATTATTATTTGTTCTACAGCCATTTAGATTCTATTTGCGTTAATTTGTAAGATTTTGTTCTTCGCATCGGCTTTGGAAAAAAAAAATTCTTCTTGAACTTCCGCCTAAGCGAGTTTTTTCTTTCGGAGAAAACAATAAGAATTCTTTTGTTTAAGTAAATTCCTTTATTATAGAGTAAGATTTTTTTTCTTCTTCTTCGTTGAAATTACAAGAATGTTTTAACAAATATTTTATGTTGGTCCCACCAGAAATTTTGTGTTCACGTTATAGTTTTGCGTTTTTTTTTTTTAAGAAAAATCAAATCCAAATTGTTTTAATTTTATCATAATATGTTTCTAAAATTCGTTTAATTTTTGTAAAATTAAATTTTCATTCGATTCGACATTAAAGACATTAGGCTTATTCTAATCAGTTTGTAGCCCACCTGAGGTTGTTTCGGTGCGATATCCGATTATACACAAATCAAGACTGGTCTTCGCCATTTCCATATGTCAAAACGAATTAAAACAGACAAGAATATAATTAAGAATATATAAAAGAAAATTGACCTTTAACACATGGATATTCATTTAGAAAAGGAAACAAAACCACGCCGACTTTTCAAGAAGGACGATATATTGAGAGAATAAAAAAAAACTAGCGATCTTTGAATGTCTTTTGTCCAAAAGAAACAAAGAACGAATGAAAAAAAACAAAACTGTTTGTGTCGCCAGATTTTCATTTGAATGTTGAAATATTGTGTAAATAAATAAATTTAGGAAAAATTTGTATCAGCCGAATAAAAACTATAATTCAGAGGAGGGCGGAGAATAAAAAAGAAGAAGAAGGTGAAGTAGATGAGAAATAGCGTGATTGCTAGTGTATCGCGCGCATCGTGAATTGTCCGCGACACCGACGATTATAAGTTCAATATAAGACAATTTTAAAAATGAAGATGATTGAGCAAAAAACATGAAATATTTAATTTATTTATCAGAAGAAGAAAACAAATCCTGAGACACAAACAAGAGAATATGTCACACTAAATCTCTCTCTTCAACCAGAACAACGCGCTAGCAATAAACGTTTTTGTAAAAATGCAAGTTCTAAATTACAAACTAATTATTATTAAAACACAGAAAGAAAGAAAAAATTAAAAAAAAAAAACGATTTTTAAAGCAAAAAAAAAACCTAGTGTGGTGAGAATGAAGGATTGTGAAACTATTTAACGTAAAGAAAAAAAAATTTAAAGAGAATAACATAAAAGTGGATGAAATGCACCTAGCCATAATGCGCACGTATTCAACAAGAATATTTAAAAAAAAAAACTTAATAGCTCGTTTCTCAATGCGGCCACCCGTGCCGATGACAGCCAACAACAACTGAATTCTCTCTACTGCTTAAGATTTAAAACATTGAAACACACAAGTCTAAACGAGGAAATAACTTTTAGTTTTACTCTTACTTTTCCTCAATTTTCTCTTTTCGAGCATCTTCAGCGAAAAACACTCACTCAAATTGGCAGGTAGTAGCGATTAAAATAAACAAAACATTTTAACCACTTCAATATTTATTAATATATATAAAAAAAAGAGAAAAAATCTAGATGAAAAACGTAAAATCGAAATAGACGTTAAAGAATTATTATGTGTATTTAAAGAAGAAAAAAAAAGCAGAGCAGAAATTAATGAGAAGACGATAAAGAATTACTGAAAATTGAACAGCAGAGATTTTAAATATAGTTGAAGAAAAATTTGAATGGACAGATTTATAGGCACACACACTCCATAATAATAATAAACATTAACGATAATGAACAACAACAGCAACAAATTATATGCATAATTATAAATACACACCCACACACACACAATTTAGTCTATGATATTTGAGGGTCGACGATTTGTCGATCCGTGTGAAAAGTGTGTGAATCGTTCTGTAGAGTCTACAACAACAACAAATTAATTAATTTTCAATGAGTGAATTATTTGATTAACGAATTGAGCGTTTGTTTATATATCGATTCTATTTTAAATGTATTTAACTAAACAAAAAAAGAGACATAATAAAACAAAACCAGTGAGCGATAGAGTATTTGATTAACTAAATTAGTAAACTATCGAATGGTCAAATGCTAAACAAAAGCCATACACACACACACACATTTATACCATTCTCTCCATATATTCAAAATAAAAAACCAAATGCCCCGGTATCAACACACACAATATTTCAATCATTTTTTTCGAGTCGAACACATGCGACAACATACAATAGCTAACGAATTAACGAATTGTTGTCAAATTCTTCGAAATTTACTGCGATTTTTGATAGCCTCATCCAATTCTACACACAAACACACACCCGATTTTACTAGCGATTGACATAAACAACAAAAACATTACTGCATAATTGAATCAATTTAAAATTTTATTGCACATAAAAAAGCAAACTTAATTCACTAAACAAACAAGAAATTACTTACGAGAAGACAACAAAAAAATGGAAAAAAACATAATAAGACACAAATTAAAGCATAAAAAAGTAATGTAATTTAATTTTAAACTTAGGACATAGTTATTTATTTAATGGAAAAAATAATAAAGTAATAAATAATAACGGTTTAAAAGAGAAAACAAAAACGCATTTAAAAACACAAACACACACACACTCAAGCAACAAATCCAATGTAAATGTATCTACTGACTACACAAAAACACAACACACGAGACGATATAATTCTAACATTATTACGACAATGGTAAATTGATAGCAACAACTACGGTAGTTGAACTACCAAACCAAATTTTATTAGAGATTCTTCGAAACCAACAATATTCCTCAGAACGTTTAACAACAACAACAATTTAAATTAATTTAATTAAAGCCAGCATGTCTGACATAGTGAAAAGCAAACAACAACAACAACAACAAAACAATGAATAATATCCTCACTCATAACAATTATTAAAATAAATAAGGTGAAACAAAAACCAAACTTTAGATTGCTATGTGGATCAACGATTGATGAAAAAAAAACAAAAAAAAACAAATAGCAAAACATTAAATAAACAAGATGCAAATCGTCATTAAACACATAATAGATTTTTAGATACGATTACAGTCTTTATAAAAAAAATAATTACAATAGCCATTAAGGAACAAGCAAAAACATTAACGGGATTACAACAACAACAATTTAATTGAAATTACAAAATAGTTTAAACAACGGCAGCAAAACACGATACAACCGACTACAAAATGCGATACACATGCAAAATCTTTTCTGATAAAAATCAATAAATAATAAAAATACAAAAAATTGCGATGGATTTTCATTTCATGGTAGTGAAGTTTCGGTTGAGAAAAGGAAGATGAAACTTTTCCGAGGAGATTTCAAGGTAATTTTCTTCTTAGAAACCGCGCGGATTATAAGCAGAACTAAAGTCAAACCAGAATGGCTTTTCGTAAGAATTCAATTTTATTCAACTTATTTTGCGATGAACAATTTATTTTATTTCTGCGTATACTATAATACGTTATGTGCGTATAGTACGTTATGTGCTGCTTGCGGCACTGGTTTGGGTTTCATTTCCATTTTCTTTTTCCTTTGCTTTCTGCACCCTAACAAGTCGCTCGAACAGTAGCACCATTTCGATGTGCTCAGTGTGTGGGAACATATCGACAGCAGCCGCTTCTTTCAGCACAAATGGTTCGCCTTTTAGCGTTTTCGAGCATGGCCGACTGAAATCAATCCAGTTTTGCATCGCTGCTTTTGGCGCACACGCAATGTAAATGAAACGATTCAATCCGCGTGCATTTCGTAGCGCTTCTTTTGATTTTGTTTCTGGAAAAATTTGAGAGTTTGGTAATTTTGTTGTTGTTTGGAAATGAAATTTCTTGTTGAAAAATTGCAAATTGTCGGTACAACTGAGATTTTTTTCGTTGAAAATGGAGAAATTCCATTTAAAAGACAAAAAAAAAATCGTTGAAAATTGAAGAATTTAAAAATAAAATTTAAGAACATTGGTTGAAAATTCTCATTTAATATTCGGAATATTGGATGCTATCAAACAAAATAGAACAATTGGCAAAACTTACGAATTCCAGCCCTTGGTGGATCAATTATAGCCAGCAGATTTTCATTTTCTGCTTCATAAACCAGGGAATGAATGTAATCATCACAATTTCCGGCGTAAAATTTCGAGTTTTCAATTCCGTTTTCCTGTGCGTTAAATTTTGCATCGTTGATGGCATCTGCGATGATCTCAACACCAAGCACCTCTTTGCAGTGCTGAAATTTTTTAAAAATTATTTATCTAAAAGATATTAATGTTCCAGATGTCTTGTGTTTTCTGCTACTAAAATGTTTAATTTCAAAATTTCAAATTGAAAGTGTGAACAAATTATTGAGAGAAAAAAAAAACCAATACCTTGGCGAAGCATAGTCCAATTGTGCCTGTGCCGCAGCAAATATCGAGTATCGTTGTGCCGGAGTCGATTTTTCCCATTTTAATTGCCAACTCATACAGTACTTCAGCCGATTGTGTATTGATTTGGAAGAATGATGCGGCACTAATGCGGAATTTCAATCCCAAAATTGTGTCCGTAATATATTTCGACCCATGAACATGTCGAAAATTGTTTTGTACCTGTCCAATTTCCCGTTTATTTATTTCTTCCAAATAAATCGATGACACATTGAGTTCTTTGCCGTTACGTTCCGTGAAAAAGTCCACAATATCTTTGAGCAAATCGTCGAGTTCATCAAGAATTTCTGTGGTATGAATGCCAGCGACAATCATGATTTCGCCAGTTGACTCTGACAATCGAACGGTAAACTGCCTGAATTGTCCCTTGTACACTTGCATGTTGAATACATCATACTTTGACTGTTTTATGTATGACTCATACAATTGAACGGCCAATTTCGTACGGTCCGGTATGTGAGGTAAGTCTTGAATTGATGCCACTTCAAGCGAACCATCGGTGTAGCTACCCAAACGAAAGCCAACCGTTCGCTCGTTATTTGCATTCAATCCAACGGCAAATTCGCACTTGTTCCGATAGCCATTGATTTTTGGCGCTTGTTTTATTCCATGCCAAATGCAGGGCAAACCTTTCTCCTTTTCATTGGCCTGAATCATCGGTCGGAGTTCAAGTGAAGCTTTCTTAACCGATGTCGCATACGCCTGCAAATGTTTCATGCATTCCTTTTCTTTGCGAATGAGTTGATTTTCATATGGAACATTAGCCAATGGAACGGTTGCTTCGACGACCGTTTTTTTACGGAATTTCTTCGGTTTTGGCGCATTCTGATCCAGACTCTCTTCTGCGAGACGTCTTTTGATCAATGGATCCAATACGGCTTTTCCTTCTTTTGCCGATATCTCTTTGCCTTTCCACTTGTAACCATTAAACAGTTTCATGGCCGATTCCTTTTCTTCCACCGTACGGAAACATAAGAAAGCAAAATCGCGGCCACCATAACTATTTGTTGTCTTGATTTTTGTCGGTTTTAGCTTTAATTTCTTGATTAATGCACGTAGTTCCTGGTTTTTCGAATGGAAAACGATTTTTTATCACGGAATTTTGAGTGTGAAAATAAAAATCTCATCAAAATACTAACCCCAAAAGCGAATTTGCCCAGATTTCCGAGCTCGATTTTATTGTACTCCGAATTGAAGTCTTGTCGCTGTTGTTGTGGATTTTCATCGGTTTTGTCAATCTGTACATTGTCACTCGTCTCATTTTTCACGTCGTTGGGCAATTGTTCGACACTTGTCGATTCCATTTTTATCAATTCAACACTACAAATCTGGAAAACGTAAATTAAATTCCTGTCACCACCGAATGCACATGTTGTTTACATGCCGCTTCTGTCAAATACTCAACTAATGACAATGACAGCTCCACTCAATCGTTCAGTTTGTGAACGAACTGAACGTTTTTCGATGGTGAACGCATCCATTGCTGTTTTAAATGGAGATTTAAATGAATCGTTTTCAAAATGACTAGAAAAATGCACGATTTTTTTTTCAATTCTTCATTTCTTTATTTCATCATTTATTCTATTTCATTATTTCAATTCAAATCTGTATCAAAAATTAAATTCATATTGCTTCTAAGCAGAGAAAAAAAAACAATTAGTCTTTCAGTATTCAAAGATCATCATACGAATTGATGAGACGAACGTAGGCAAATGGAGACGGTTCAATGTTGCTATCCTCATCGTCACTGTCGCTGAATTTGATGAGCCAATTGTCTTGATTTTCTGGTTCTTGTGCACCGTGGTCCGTTTCATCAATTTGATTTGAATCGCATTTGATTGGCGATAGCACTTCTGCCGCCTGAATGTCTTCAGGTAAACTGCCGAAGATTTCATCGACGCTTGGATTCGAGGCAACAGCTACAACCGGTTGTATAACGTCCTTCATGAAAACCGATTGAGTTTGACCATATCCAAAGGCTATTTCTGAACTGTTTTGTGGCCACCCGAACTCAATCAAGCTTACAGTTGAATTGGCTGGTGCTAAAGGGATGTTCATCGTTTGCTTGTTATCATCGTCGAATGCCAATGAATGAGCCGATGCATATCCGCTTGTGTATCTTTGACTGATTGAGTTGAGGTCATTCCAAATATCAACTGGTGCTGGGGGAATGCTCGTAGCTGCCACGATTTGGGTGTCAACACTTTGGGTGCTCAAATTTTGAATGCCGACGCTTTGAGTGGCTATGCTCTGTTCACGTGCCAAATCCTTTTGGTCAGTTGTACCATTATCATCGCGTGATTCAGTGTACGCTTCCGATTCCATTTGGCTGCTGTTCGGTGTGTCCAAGAAAATGTTATGTAAAACTAGTGGTGCCTTTTCCGCCATCCGAAATTTGATTAGGCTTCGTGCAATGAGCTTTCCTTGCAGTTGATTTTGAACTTTGTACAAGATTTTCAAATCTCGAACAATAAGCCGGCGATCGAAGCATCTAATCACTTCCGCCTGCAGATAACTTTCGTTGTGATCGCGTTCCCTAAGCGAGCTCATCATTCGCTCAACAAACTGCTTCGCTTCTGGCAGCCACTTGATGTTGTTGTCATTCGGCACATATCCAGACACGAATATTTCAATTGCACGCGATGGAAATTCTTCAAAATCAACATCCAATGAATACAATTCATGTTCGTTGCATTGACGTAATTTTCCGTCGTCAATCAGGTAAATTTGAATGGCTTTCTTTGATTGGGTCACCACGCGGCAACGTTTTGGTCGATTTTGATAGAAATACAAGTACATTTGACCAGTGACAATACGGTCTGCTTGCTCAAGACTTCCATCAAGTGAATAGTACTCGCGCAACGATCGCTCGAATTGCTTCCGTTCGAAATCATAATTCTCAACGGGTTTTGATTTGTGTTCCAGCTTACGCTTGTGACCAATGACACGAACGGCAAAATGGTTTGGCGCCAACACCTCAAGCAATTCCATGTTCACGAATCCATACTCTGGCACGCACGTTTCGTCGAAGTCGGAGAGTATGTGACGATATGGACAGCTTATATCACAGTCTTTGGCTCGTGTAATCAATTGGATACAGAGCGGCTTGTTTGCTTTGATTTCTTCAAGTTTTTGCTTCAAATTCTGGAGAAAAAAAGAATTTGTCTCAATGTCTTCTTATTCTTCACAAACAAATATGCAATCGAATGACTTTTCTCACCAGAATCAAATTACTCAATTCAACCGGCAATTCGGTTTGAGTTCGGTTTGACAACACATCATAGATTTGAATGAATTCATCGCACATTTCATCATCGAAGTATGTCAAACAAATGGGTGGGCTCAACTCATGTCTATCCGGTTTGTTGAGTAATTCACGGTCCAGCTTCTCCGCATAGTAGCCAAAGCAAGTGATGAATCGATACAGGAATGTTTGCAGTTCATTCGGCAGTGAATAATGCACAATGTGACTGGCCGTTCGAATTGGAAACGAGTCCAAGTTTGCGTCTTCGCACACCAGAATATTTTGCTTTGTAAGTGACGTGTTCACGTTCAGGCCTTGCTCAGTCCAATTCACCAGCTCTGAAACGATATCGTTTGATTATATTCAAATAGTCATATTTATGTCATATTTCAAATAGCGTATTTGACCGTCTCATTAGTGCTAATTTGCTTCAAGAAGAGCTAATGTGTGGCCGAGGTCAATTGATTGATCAAATCAAAATATGACTCATTCAATGACTTACTCAACTGATTCAGCGAGAATGTGTTGTCGAAATCTTTACATTTGATGTTCGCTTGAGTCAGACTTCCTGTCACATACTTCACCTCTGACAAATTGGAGCAGACAATGACGATTGACCCAGTCATAATACCGTGTTGATCCAGCAATTTCTCTGTTGGACGAACAAATTGTAAGAAATTAGTTGAATTTGAAATAAAAAAGACTGAATTCCTTAGTCTTTTATTTGAAAAGGTAAAAAAAAATACCAATCAAATCGTTGATTTTCCCTTCGGACATAATAAACTCGGTCACAAAGATGCATTCGGCACATAATGCTGCTTCAAACGGTGTTCGGTCACCAATTAAAAGCATTGGTATTTTGATTCGATCATAGAGTACATTCAGAATTGGGTTGTAAGTCTGGCCGGTGGCAGCTACCTGGAAAAACGTACACAAAAAAACATTGATTGCGTAAACTCTCAATAAAATTAGAAAATAAATGAGATTTTTATATGAAAATTGAAATGTCTGATTATGAAGCAAAAACACTGACCTGCATATCAAGCCCTGGTGTACACAGTATATCGACAGCTTTGTATGTTTCCACTTCATTAATTTGGCACATTTTGTCGATCTCATCGAACCAAGCGTACTGCAGTCTACCCACTTTGAAGATTTTCGGCATGTGATTGACAAGTGTTTTAAAGCAAAATATTGGCAACACCAAAATATCCACATGATCCATTTGCAGTAAGGCATTTATCTCGAAGTTACTATTCAAACAGGTCACATTGACAATGGCCATTCCGGATTTTTGTAGCAATTTTCGGCAAATCGTTGCCATTGGCTCAACCTTTTCCGCACCGCTCACGAAAATCAAGCCAATCGGTTCAATTCTAACCGATGTCGTCCAATCGGTCACCATTCGCTGTTCGAATGAAAAATTCACATTAGTCCTTTCTCGCTGTTTAAATGGAAAAATTTGCAATTACGATTGATGGCAGTCTTGTTTAACTCTAAAATACTCACATGAACAATGGTGCAAATGGTTGGCAGAACTAACATGGTGTTTCGATCACGTTCTCCAACCATCAAACAACTATTTCCACGCATTATCGTTGGCCAAGCGTATGAACACAGTGGATCGATTTTATCGCGAAACAATCGCTTCAAGCACGATCGAATTTGGTCTTTGAAATAAAATGTGTCTTTCCAGTCTTTGGTCGGTACCACTACATCGTGTGTGATGGCCAATACATTCCATTTGTTGAGCGATTTTATGGACAATGTCATCGATACCGTACTCATGGAGTGTCCAGTTAGTGCACTGTTTCCGTGCGTTCCCGATTGGCTTGGCGGCGGTTGACGCTCCGGCTCATCGTTGCCGGAAGCAATTTCAATTTGTTGTGCGTCGTCAAATGACATCGGATCGTCAGCATCCATCCAAATGTTATGATATCCAGCCATTTCATCAATTTGATCTTCGGCTCGAGGCATCGTTATCTCGTGATTCAGGCGGAAGAAGTCATCTTTTTCCAATGTTTTGACATCTGTTTTGGGGTAAAAATGGAGGAAATGTCATGGCTTGAATAGATAAAAAATGACGAATTTTTCGAAGAATGAAAATAAATTCTGTTTAATAGAAAAAAAATTCAATTGAAATCAGTCGAATGGCGATAAAATTTTCCTAGAAATCTATTCACTTGAATTCACTTTGTTCTCGGCACTTTTTATTGACCGTCGATTTGAAAACCAAACACTCACCATTCATGTAGCATCTATCTTGGATAGCTTCATCTTGTTCCATCAATGCACCGACCACAGAAAACGGTTCGTTGTTATTGTGGCAATAGATTAGCACTTGACCAAAGCATCTGTTGCTTTCGACCGATTCAATGAGAAATGTAAGCCGTGACTCGTCGCCAACCCATTCCGAAAACAATTCGGTTGCCTTTTTCGACCACTGATGCGTTTTGACTCTTTCCATATCGAATAAAACCTCATTAAATTCCTGCAAAACAAACGGAAATTCAATCAGAAAATTCCGAAATATTCATTTCAAATTCCCGTAAAATCAAACAAAAAACGAAAGGATGGATGTTAATTAGGAGGAAAAAAAACATACGAGTCTGGCTGGCACAACGTTGCTCAATCCGCCAATGTGAACGTTGATTGGTCGTCGATATGCCAATCGCATATTTGTGAGCGGCAGTACATCCTTCAATGGAAAAAGTAATTTGCATCCATAATCGATGGCCCAAACGTAGATCATATCGATTTCACCATCTTTTTTTGCTTTTTTCTTTCGACCCGATTTACCGCGAATCCATTTGTTCCAGTGCGGATGATGCACAGCAATTACGTCGCCATCGTTCAATGCCGGTACTTGATCGTCTCGTGTCAATAAATCCACTACATAAGCCGCAATTTCACACTCCAATTCATCAATTAAACGATCTTGCAACGAATCCTCGCAATATTTATACCAAAATTTATGCGGACTATCGACTTGCATGATTTTTATCGCTTTTTTCACCAGCTCAATATCGTTTGTCGCCGACATTTTTCTTCTTGTTGTTGTTGTTACACTTGCGATGCGAACGCAGAGAATGTCACTTTCCAAATGCGACACAGTGTGTATTCAATGATGAACGATGTATGAAGAAAAACAGCGTCGCATCGATTCTCAATTTAACGGTCCAGTCGAAGAGAGTGCACAACAAACGACACAAACGAACAAAACCGATGCGTGTACGTAAGACTATGTTCACTGGAAAATGCTGCCGGTTCACAACAGTCGCACAACCAAAAACACGACATCAACACGTGCTCAGATTGTTGATATTTCGTCTGAATCGAAACTGTTGACTCGGCTTTTATTTACATCGCTTGAATCGTTCACCAAGTGACGCTTCGTTTCGCGCCCAATTTTAGCATGAACTCAAATTGACAAGTCAAAGCAAAGAACTTTAACATCGACCGAAATCGGTATGAAAAGCCAAAAGAAAAATCGATAACAAAACCGAATCGATGTCCCATTAAAATCAATTCGTTGCTTTGTATTCAGGAAATTGTTTCCATTCATTCACCCCAAACAATTTCGATGATTAAATAAAACCGAATTTAAACAATGGGTCCATTGTGTTGATGTAATAATAATAATGAGTGATGCAATGATTGGTCAATGCCTCCCACAGCAACAGTAACTCTGTTGATGCAGCGAAAGGTTTGCCGCAAATAGTTCTTATTAAAAAGAAAGAACAAGAAACAAAGAGCAACGGCTTTGAATGAAATTCACACCGAATGTTCGGTTGTGCATTCGAAATTCGTCGTGTACTAGTAATTCAATTAACATTCGTGATACTTGAGGCAGTTCGTTAGCAAAGGTTATGTTCATTTCGTCTGGTTCTCATACATAGCATGGTTCACACTTTCGTTGTCATTAACTCGATTCACACTTTCATTGCTAATAACAATTACCAGCGCTAACAAATTGCGCTCGGAGTTTGTTCGAGCGATCTAGAACCAGCTCGCGCCATGCAACCAAACACACCGACAACTAATTCAACGAGAATTAATCTAATGTTGCGCCATATTCTATACAGGCGTTTTTTTCGCGCCAAAGCGAACGATTTGGCGAAATGAAGAAATGGACATGAAAGTTGACGATAATTTATTTGATAGCTATGAATGTGACGGCGAATGTTGATGCAATGTCAACAATTCAATTATGTATGATAAAAATGTTGGCTAATTCATGTATGCTCACATTGAAACATATACGTACAGTGAATAATTGGTTGAGTATGGACCTGAGTTTGTATCAAGTGAAAAAGCGCCGTTCTATTAATGGTTAATGCCTTTTAATACGTACACACTCATCTGCTGTTGCTGATCTCACAAATTTGCATTTATATTCATTATAGACTTGATGGTTTTTCATCAATGAGTACATGACAGACGCTCCATTACGTACATTCGGCCCCATATAATTCATCTTGATTGTGTTAGATAAATTAAATAAGACACATGCTAAACATAGCAGAAGTGAGACAGAACGATCGGACTGAATGAGTACGGTGAATATGAGAGCAAGTGCATACGATGTGTATCATGTATCCATTGGTACGACATCGAACTGTGTGTACTGCACAACGAATATGCCCACTGCCAAACAGACATCTCTAGCTGAATCGGTCAAAGTTGTTTGGGTCTAGAAATTGTTGTTGAAATGAAAATTGGAATATAATTTGTTTTTTATTCGATTTATTCAGATTGACTGCTAATCTTGAGATACCACAAGAGGTTTGTAAGATGCTCATCAATGGAGAGAATTTTCTTTTGCATTTCCACAAATATATTTTATAAAAACAATTAGTTTTCGGTCATGTTAACTTGCGTATTCTCTTTTTGTCTCGTTCTCACATGTCAACTGTGATAAGTTCGGCGGCTTATTCGTTCAATGTAATCTTCTTGTGATGTCATCGCAAGAATAGAATTGCCAAAGTGAAACATTCAGTATCTTGTGCAACAAGATTAGACAGCAAACTAAAAATGAATCATGCAAAGGGTCAGACTGAAAGAGAAGCATGAATCATTCCAGTTGTGTTACGTACAGCATTACTTTTAATGTTCATTTATTCAACGCAGCCATACGTTGGTTGAATGTGTTACAGTATTGCGTTCAATGTGTTTCTTTTTTTCTCTTTCTCTCTCTAATTCATCGCACAGTTTCAATTTAAATTCGACTGAATATTCGCATTCACACTTACTCTGAGCGATTCAATTGAGCGACAGCATGAGATAAACAATAACACAAACAAAAAAGCCAACAACGCCATCAGAACAGAACAGAACAGAACGAAAAAAAAACGAATTTGCCTTTCAATTTAGGCACATTACCAAAGTCACTTTAAACAGTTGCTCAGTTGCGATTTAATTTCCGCGATGGAACGTTTTGTTATTTAAGACACAGCGCAATAATACCAGAAAAAGAACACTAAACAGACTGTAGTTGCGTTAACGTAAATAAAAACTTGAAATTTGTCAAAATTGTTGTGTTCGTTGTGATGTTAATCTCCTGAAAGAGGTGGGCATTTTTGCAGTCGTTTTTCTTTTCAAAGGAATTTATGACAAAATTCGTTTTTGTTTACATTTCGCTCGGAAAAGTTGGGGAAAAAATTTCACTAGAAATAGTTTAAACTACAAAATATTCGGGAATCATCGAAAACCATTTTACCTCTATAAAAAAAAAGCATTGCTCATGCTGTCGAAATATGAGTGGTGGAAAATTGGTTCGAAGTGAATTTGATAGATACTAATATTCAACAACGACGACCTCACTCGCTGAAAGTGCAATTTAATGCTATAAATAGCTAAATTTATGCCAACTAGCCATTTCATTAAATTTTCATTAATTAGTACAATCCAGTTTCGGTTGATTGGATAAAACAAGGGTTACACAGTAACGGTGGAATGCATCGAAACTCAACTCGTTTAATATCAAAATATCGATGTTATTCACATTTGTTATTTGATGAAGCACGGTAGCGACGTCGTCGTTGTGTCGATACACCGGAGCTCATCTTGATTTACAATTTACATCTATTTTATTGATGTTTATTGAGAAATTCCCTCTGCAATTTTCGTGCTCCGATTTTCGTGATATACAAAGTAAACTTCAACATAAGTTTAATAATAATAATTCAGATTTGAATTGTGAACAGAACATATTTGTGAAGAGTAGGTTAAATTACAACGGTTTTATTGCACAAACATTACATTGCTGGTTGAAAATTTAATATTCTCCATGCTGAATTTCGAGCAATAAAATACGCAACATTTTTTTTCCCCGTTACTGTGTCTTCCACTGAATTCAAATGGCATTTTACCGGAGAGAAAAAGTGTTTCATTTTTCCGATTGTTTTTTTTTCTCCATATACCGAATTCGGTATTACCGATGAGTGTTTTCAACATAAAAAAATCGTCACATATGCTATAGAATATTTAAGCATGAAAATGCCGTTTTCTATTTTTCATCACGCAATTTTACCTTCTGGAACCATTCATTCGGAATGAAAAAAAGAGCGGAAATAATTGATGTAACGTACTGTTCTAAGAGTTAGTTAAAACAACGAACTTTTCGCAGAGACAAACAATTCTTTCAAATTAAGGCAAAAAAACGCAATTTCGGGTTCATCATACATTCAAGTTCTGACTTTATGGACAACCGCTCAAGCAATTAAATGTTGCTATTTTTGCTAATTGTGCGATAAGACGTTGTGAGCAAAAACAGAGCGCATTACTTCACGTCAAAATTGAGCACATCAAGCTCAATTAAGCGTCATTTATGGCCACATTTTGTCGAAATGAGCCAATATAATTGTACATTTTTACATTAATTCGTCGACGTGCTGCTGAAAAATACTGAGTGAACGAAAGAGAGAGAGAGGCAGATAGATCAACATTTCAGACACGATTAAAAAAATAGTGATATTTAGTTCAAAAATAGCAAAATTAGCAGAAATTAGAGAGACTGAAACTTTTTTGTTCCCTACATTTAGCATTGCCAATACGTTTCCTTATGGAGGTTGTTTTGTTCATTTACCGTTATTTGTCAACAAGTCTGTCTATATCAACGCATTGCACTGTACATAGTATATGTCCATAAGAAATACACAGAGACAATGCAAAAAGATCGCAGATTTGTTTACAAACAACAATAAATAAACAAAACAAAAATCTCCATAAGGAATGCATTGGTAATACTAAATGTGTGGAAGAAAAAAACTAAAAAATTAGCAAAAACTTATGGAATTAGAAGAAACAATGGAAAAATCGTTCAAAATAGTTGAATTAGGACAAATTGATACCGTGTCTTGCCCCTAGAATCCGACCTAAACATACCTTTGTGCAATCAACAGGGAATTTTGCGAATGGAACTAAGGATGAGAGCGATTGCAGCAGCGGTGTTTGCGCTGCATCTAATTAGTGTGATACAGTGTCTTGATATAGATTTGTTGAACAAACAAGCCACATACGTTGATGCTAAGGTGGGATCGTATGCTGTGTTCAATTGCCCATTAGATTTTCCGCAGGATATTGAAATACCGTACATTCTTCATTGGAATAAAGAGGTAAGTGAAACATGATTTCAACAATCAAGAGTAAGATAGATGGATAGAGAGAGACAGACAAATTGAGATACAGAGAGAGAGAGAGAGAGAGAGAAATGAAAAAAAGAATCTTACCCAGAAACAAGGTCGCATAATTTAATTAGATTCATCAGTTGGTCGTTCATTCTTTGGTTGCCAATAAGAAAGCCAATTTTCTTACAGATATTGAACATTTCCTCATTTGCAAATGGCTTAACAAGCTGGTCTTAACCGGATCACTTAATTTGATTCTCTCCGTCGAGAAATTAACTAATCTAGAACAATTGTAAATGTTCTGCAATGCCAAATGCGCAAATCAACTCAATCCAAATCGCACGTATTCAATTTCGTTCATTTGCAAACAAAAATATTTACGTTTTATGGATTCTTCACGACGAGATAGTATGCTATAGCTCCAAGTCTAAGCAATGGAACGAGTACAGTATGCACAATTGTGATTGTGCATGCGTCTTTACGTGCTTTTAAATGTAAATAATTGAATCATGTTTTTTTGGGTCAATAATTTCCGATGAGTATTTGATCGAACCGAAAATGGGTTTCGAATTTCGATTTAAACCAGTTTAATCCGAAGGCATGCCAGATGCTTCAACGGTTCATAGCTTATGGATGAGACAAAAAACTGACAACGGAAAGATACAATATCTGATGATTGAATTTGTCATGCAATACCACACGTGTAACAATAGAGTCCGTCGCAAATATGCGCAATTTTGTACACAATTTCTATAGAAACAATAGATTTCAACCGAAAACCTGATTGAACATCTCGATCAAACCAAATTTCAGTCAACATCGATTGAAAATTCAATAACATCCGAAACAAACGCACACACAATCGAGTTACGCAATTTCATTTGCCGACGACAATGGCGTTGAACAATGCGATTTTGTGGCTCGATGATGCGAAGAGCAATTATACTGATGCTGTTGCTGTTGAGATCGGATCGGGCACCGCCTTTTGATTAGAATCAAATGTGATATCAGTATAATTATATATGAATTTGAATTAAAACTTGTGTGTGGTTGAGCTAGGCTGGAATAATTGAAACAAACGTAAAATGAGTCATATGCACACTCACCGAGCACAATGTGAATAAAATATTATCCCATTTGTTGGAATAAAATGAGCCCGTGAGTGCAAACAACTACCCTGTCAAAGCAATGAATTGTCAATTGATTTAGCAACTTCATAAAGTATTATAAAGTTCATACATCATTGAATTTGGTGAATATAGCCACAACTGAGCCTGAACTCACGACTCTTGCATTTAATTACAAATGCGCACACTGTCGCCGTACCCTGCTTTTTGTCATTTTATTAAAAAGTCCAGTCAGAAACTGGCCAGCGCACAATATCGCAATGAATATGTGCTAGATGAACGTCATGATATGACCCGGTTCATACATAATTTTTAATTGGGTAATGTTGTGTAAATGTGTGATTCTCTGCCTCTTTCTTCACTCACTCTCTCTTTTTGTGTTGTATATTCTGTTTTGCGTACAGAACTTTAACAAGTGACACTAATGAACTTAATTATCAACATTTTCATCTCGACATCGTTTTCTCTCTCTCTCTCTCTCTCTCTCTCTCTCTTCTCCCTCATTGATATACGCCCGTTTTTTTGCAGGGTCACAAAGTTTTTGCGTGGTATGATGGGAAATTATCCGCCGCAGATTACTATGTGGGTCGTGTTAATCTACTGGATAACTCCTATGGATATGGACGAGCCTCGGTGAATTTAACGTCAATACGAGAAACCGACTCGGGATGGTATGAATGGAAAACCGAAAACCGACACTCTTGCACCTCTTTTTTCATTCTTTGTGAAGTTTTTTTGGTCTTTTGAAATTTTTTTCGTGGACATTTCTTTCGTACAGTTCTTTTTAATAGAGTTTTTCGTTCACAAAGAATTTTCTTTCAAGATATTTAATCTTTTCGTATTTTTTTTTTGTCTATTAATAACATTATTTAATGTACAAAATCGCCGTTTACAACATTGGCAGGTATGAATGTCGTGTCATCTTCCCAAACCGAACGCCAAGCACTCGCAATAATGGCACATGGTTTCATTTGGCTGTTGAAAGTGGTTCACTCATCAAAATACCACCAATTAATCAAACGGTTATGGAAGGTGAGATGGCATATTTCCATTGTGTCACCAAAGAACCAGAGCTGTCGCATGCGACATGGTACAAAGACGGCATCGCCATATCAGATTTAGATGACCTGAGCCAGAGATCAGTTATCACTTCAGACGGCAGTCTCACCATTAATCCAACGGTCATGACCGATTTGGGCGAATACGTGTGCATAATTCGGAGCATTGAAAATGATGAACAAGAAGCCAGAGCCTATTTGAATGTACAATGTAAGGAATGGAGCGTTTTTTTCTATTTTTCAAAATGTCTTTTCATGTGTTTTTTCTTGAATTTTTGTCCCTTTTCGTTAGAAATCCCTTTATTTTTAAGGAGTTTTTTTTTAGTAATGAATCCAATATCCATTTGTTCGTTTCAGATAAAGCGAAAGTAATTTATGCGCCAAGTGAAGTGTATCTTCCGTTTGGAAGACCAGCAACTTTAGATTGTCACTTTCGATCGAATCCGCCACTAACGAATCTTCGATGGGAGAAAGACGGATTTTTATTTGATCCTTACAATGTTCAAGTAAATTTGTGATGTTTCTTTGGTTTTTATTAAGCACTGTAAAGAAAAAAACAAACCATATAAATCATTATTTTCTCGAATTTCCCCGGTTAGGGAGTGTTCTATCGCCGAAATGGAAGTATTTTCTTCAATTTAGTAGATGAAACGCATGCCGGTCGTTATTCTTGCACACCATACAATGATCTAGGCACTGAAGGACCATCACCATTAATTCGTGTCTTCGTACAACGTCCGCCTGTGTTCACCTTAAAGCCAAAACCAATTTATGTGCACAAATTAGGTGACACGGCTACATTTCAATGTGATGCGACAGATCAAGATGGTCAACATCGTCCCATTGTTCAATGGCGTCGCAAAGATGGGCTACCACTCCCATTTAGCCGTACAACCATTGAAGGTATCAATTTCGCAATAGAAAATATCAACGAAACGGATCGTGGCATTTACGAGTGCATTGCAACGAACGAAGCAGCCACCGTAACGGTTGATTCAGAGTTGTTGATAGAAAATGTTGCACCACGTCCACCATACAATCTTACGGCTAATAGCACCGACACAGCAATTACTTTATTTTGGGAACCAGGTAATTTTTATACATCTTGATAACCACTATAGCTATTTGATTGGATAATAACGAAATACGATGGTGATTTTTCAGGCTATATTCGACCATACTTGGAGTATGTTGTGTGGTATAGATTGAGTGATGCAACTGAATGGCGAACCCTACGAATGCTAACAAGACCGCCCGTTCGAAGCTACGAAAATTTCAATAATCAAAATATGCAAGCAACCATTACGAATTTGGAACCGGGCCGAGAATACGAATTTATGGTATTGAGCACTGATAGGTAGGAAATTGGTGATTTTTATTTTTATTTTTATTTTTTTCAAGTTTTCATCTTCTTTTTATAGGTTTGGCGACGGAATGTTCAGCAAAACCTTTAGATATTTCACCAAAGGTTCGTGAACTATTTTGCAAGAAAAAAAAAACATATCTTACACTTGAACCTATCGAATTTTATTGTGTTGTTGAATAAATACATATTTGTTGTGTTTTAACGTTGACTGATTTAACATGTGTTTTGATTGAACTTTTTGTTGTTGTTGTTGTCGTCGTTGCTTTTCGAGTGTAAATAAAAATGTTCAGAAGAATTCTCTTGGAAAATGTTGTGAATTCGCGTAGAATTTGATTTTTTTTTTATTTTGATTATTTCCATGAAAAGTGTTTTAAAAAAAATACTGACAAACAAATATTTCATGTGAAAAATCCTTTCGAAGAAAAAAAATGTTCAAACAAGAGAATTCTTTTGATACACCATAACCCTATGTTTAATCCTTTTTTCGAATATATTTTTGGCCAAATAGTTAAATGAAATTTTAAAAACAATTTCCACATTCCTTTTCTTTTTTTCCTCCCAAAAAAGCTTCCGAGTACTTTACTGATTCGCCGGATCAGCTAAACGAGCCAGTAATGCATTTTGCACAAGTTGGGCCGCCGAAGAATGTTACGGTTCAGCAAACTGATGTAGGTACACCAATTTAACAGATAGACACACAAAACCTTTTTTAAGGCAAAGCAAATCCATGGTATCAATATAAATTTGGCAAAAAGTTAATAAATTCGACGAAATACTAGCGTCTTTCAGAAAAAAACAGAAGTAAAATACCTTAATTAATTGCAGTATTTTTCGCATTATAGGTGGGTGATGAGTTTATTGTATCGTGGTATCCGCCCGATTACGGTATCGAAACGTTGCGAGTGTATGTGGTACGATGGTACCGTGAGCCTGGTCATCATCTAATGGGAAAAGCCGAAACACGCGATACTTACTACAAAGGTAATTTCCTCAATTGCTTTTTTCTTTTACTTTCTTTTTGCACACACACACATAGCTTACACTATGTTTTCGCTTCCTTTTTCTCCCATCTCGTGCCCATTTATCACTCTTATTGATGTTTGCTATTTCTCTCTCACACTTACAGTGCGATACCTAATGGAGAACGAATTGTACAGCTTCCAAGTATTTTCGCTGTCGACAACTGACTACCAGGCTGGCAGCAATGAATACGATATCCGTGTTCCACCGTATCGTATCAAAATGCGTCTTGTTGCAATAATAATTACGCTGATCATACTATCAATGCTAGTCTTTGCTGCAATTTATATCTTCCTAAAGAAACGATGCTTTGACCCGTACCCAGATAACGATGAAAAATTGCAAAGACCATGAAACAAAAGTCTAATGTGCAACAATGTTGAACAAAGAAAAATTGTTGTAGTCTTAATTAGTTGATAGAAACCATTTCGTGTGTGCATTTTTCCCCGTCTAATCCAACAAGCAAAAAGTAAAAATAGAAGGAAATAGAAGAATTCGAAATCAGAACGAACGAACGAACAAACGAAAGCCAAATCATGCACAAGCACGCAAATCTCCTGACACCATTCTTCTGTTTGGCCTGCACACAGAGAGCATTTCACTTTTGCATTTACCAAAGCAATTTACAATTTGTGTTAAATACCGTTTTAATTATTTGTTTTTTTTTTATTGTTTAATTCGCTTTAATTGTTTATGTCTCCGACTTCAATTATCACATTAAGTAAGTTGATTCTTTTTTTCTTTGTATGAGGAAAGAAACAAAAAGAATCAAACCAAAGGATAAACAAAATGTCTTTTCATATATATTTGCTGAATCTCAAATAAAGAACTTTGTAAATAAACGGAGAGTTGTTTCACTGGTCAACAATACAATAAAAAGCCAATTGACACAATGTTATGCTTGCGATTTTTTTCGGTGAAGATTCCATTCGTTGGAGTTTCGATAGCTACAAGTAGATGGCATACCACTCAATTCGTCGCTTAATTTGCAACATTAAGTTTTATTATTCATCGTCGTCATCGTCTATGTTGAAACGAAGCGAAATAAATGCATATCACAGATATGCACGAGTGCAATTAACCACTTTAATTCAATAGAACGAATTAACGACGAGAATTCAAGATGCCTTTATGCCCGTTCGCGTATATTCAATGCGAACTGTTGCTGTGTACGTTCGTTTTATCGTTTCGCCAGTTGTGTTTTGCTGAGTAACAATAATGAATTTGCACTTTATACAGTCAAACGAATTGCAAGCAATGAATGTGAGATAGGGTGGGGGGAGAAACGCGACAACAAGTGACAAAAACAAACTGGGGCTTCTTATCAAAATCGGTTCAAAGATTTAAATATTGTGTTTTGTGTTTATCGAGTTAACTGAACCACAATCACATAAAATGTGCTTTTGTGACGTGCTCGGCAATTGCGATTTAATGCACAATGAAGTATGAGTGTGGGAGTTGCGGTGCAAGTAAGCCGACTTACAGAATTCATATTCAGCTGAATTCTGAAGAATTTATTAAAGTTTCGTTCTTTTTACTCGACAGCTGTTCTCCCTTCCGTTGACATAAGGCCAGATCTGTAACAGATCATCTGTTTTCGATTCAAGTATGGAGTTTTTTTTTTTGATTCAGTGTGGTTTTCATTGTCTGGCTAAAAGTTTTTTGCCCTGTTTTCAAAGAGAATATTCGGATTCTCCAACGAAATGTGATAAATTGAACCGACTGTCAACCGCATTCAAATGTAGCGTAAACAACCAATAATCCCTTTGATTAGCCACATTGATGGAATTACAAATAAACGACTGCAAATTATTTTTGATGACACAATGGCTAACGGAGGTTTCGTTCGGAATTTTACGTACATGTGCAATTGCCAATGAACTGTACCGCAATGACGAGCCACATTTAGCAGCGTTGATGAGATATAATCGACCGACCACACATGCGAACGTGATATAATGATTTGTTGTGTATTTGTTTGTTTTTTTTTTTTCAACGGAAACTGGCTTCACCAGACTATATACGCCATTCGTTCAAACGAAAAAATTGCAAAACATGATTTGCTTATTAAAATCGCATTCAGTTGATTTGTTTGGTTTCGATGTTTGTTGCTGCTTTCTTCGTACAAAATAATCTTTTGCATAATTATCAGTTCATATTTTTATACAACGAGGTGTTGACCAGTGTGAATCACTTTGATTGTATTTATAATTTTGCCTCAAGTCAAAACCAAGCGATTTATCGAATTAAAGTATACGGTCGTTCCATAAACGTAGTGGAGGAGAAAAAAAATGTGCTTGCTAATTTGCTTAGAGTGTCAATCAAAGGCATGTGCCCCGTTCATTTACATGTCATACGTATGAGTGTGATGGATAAAGAAATGAGCAAGAACATCATTAATTTGACGCTTGACGGTCAACAGCAACGCACGACAATGACGACGAAAATAAAAAAGTGCTCTCAGCAATGTCAGGGTTTTTGTTTCGGCAAAATTTGTAATTTTATCAAATAAATGTAAAAAAAAATAAAACGAATTACATACGTAATCCAAACTTTTCCGCTCCGCAGCAATTTAGTTTACCTCCCGCTTAATGTTTAACCAAAATTTCAATGGACCCTTTTTTCATAGCATTTTTGACCTTGAAATATAACTATTTCGACCACTTTCCATACAAAAGTGTCATTTTCGAACGAAATTTTAAAAAAATGTCGATTTCGGACCAAATTTATGGGCGATTAAGTGCTTGATTGTTGGACAAATCCCAATATTTTTGCAAAAAAACATCAGTTTGCCTTGATCAAAACCCTAAAAAAATGGCTTTCTGTGTGATTTTTCATACAAAAGTCTATTTTTCGAGGAAAATTTCAAGAAATGTCGATTTTGGACCAAATTTATGGGCAAGTAGGTGTTCGGTTGTTCACAGACTCCCATTATTTTTGCAAAAAAATGGCAGTTTGCCTTGATCAAAACCCTGAAAAATGGCTTTTTGGGCGATTTTTCCTACAAAAGTGTCATTTTTCAAGGTTTTTCAGGTCCTCAGTCGGAGGCTTATGGTACGGAATTGGTAAATCAGAATGGGCTCAAAATCAATCCGAAGCTTTGTCTCGACATGCCAAAACTTTTGGCTTTTACAGATCTCAATTATCTTGTCAACTTTTTGAGATAATCGGCGAACAAAAAGCTCGGACGCGAACGCGGACGCGAACGACGCCATACGAACATCGCAATTTTGCACATTTTTCATAGTAAACAACATGTTTTTGGGGGTAGATAGGTCTTGATCGATAGGATTTCATCCCATCTACATTGCCTAGTGTACAGATATGTGCTTTTTGAAGTTTGGCATGACGTTATAGTGGTCCGAAAGAGGAGATGTCATGAAATTTTGGCTAGTAAAACCAATACTTTTCCATACAAACAAAGTTTGCGGAAAAGTAATAAGAAAATACAGAAAAAAGGGGGGGAAATCATTAAAGAAAAAGGGAGAAAAAAAATCAAGAAAAGAAATTGCAAACCCTCAAATTACATTGCGCCCATTGCTGAACGTCTGTAATTTAACCCAAAAATCATTGTGCGAAGGAAATTGAAAATGAGGTTGACACAGGCAACAAATTGGAGCAATGAGAAAGTAGGAAAAAAAAAAATTGGCGGTATTCAAATGGAATATCTCCATAAATGGACGGATTGAATCGCATGAAATGTGAGAAATTCAATAGGAATACGGCATGTGCCAACCATTCAATGGAAGTCATCAAAAGCATTAAGTGAAATATTCGAAAGCCTCAGCAAAATGAATACATACCCGTTCGAATGAAATTTTCTGTGAATATATCTTTTGAAAACAGAAAATTTTCCGTATACCTTCGATTCAATCAGCGAAAGCAATACAATGGCGTTAGCAGAAGGCAGAAGGAAAAAACACTATCATTAAATCATGTTTAGTGTAGCTGAAATTCATGGTTACGGTTCCAAAGCACGCAACTATTTATGAAGAGTCATTTCCGTTGTACTATGCGAAAAGTGAAGCGCGCTACTATCAATCCTCAGAAAATCAGACATAAATCAAAGGCCTGCCTGCCCCGTAGAGAGAAAAATAGATTCTCGTTATGTGTTTAAGAATTACAGCAGCTAAATAGAGTTCTTTAAACTCATTGAATGGATACTCATTGCTATAGAGTCATTCAAAAGATGCTAATGCATTGATCTTGACTCAATTTATTCGTTTGTTTCATTGAGTTATCAATTGCAATTGAATCCAAATGACGGAATTGCGATAACATAACGAAACAACGGCCGACAATGAAATCCGCTGATTGCATAATTTGTTCCAATTTTTGGTCTCTGAGTGTGCGGTTGTTTTTTCAGCATTCCACAAAATATCTAAACCAAAACTCGATTTGGAATCAAAAGTAGGTTCATAAAATAATAAAATTGCTCAGCATAACTATGTTTCGAATAGTTCGAGTCTCGTGCGCCGATTCCAAAGTTCAGTGCATAAACATATCGATAAACAAGAGACGGGCCAAGGGCCAAGAGTGAAACTTGATACAAATATATCAATTATATTTGAATTTATTTGTACACGAGAACGCTTGTTCTCCTCCATTCGCAAGCGATATATATTTTACAGGGAAAAAACAACATACAAGCAAAACGTCAGCGCTGTGTGCTTTGTACTTGTCCATAAGTTCAGCTGTTTTATGTGATTTTGTTGTTGGTTCTCGGTACACATGCACTGAAAGTCGCGTTCGTTCGTTGTTGTTGCTGGGTTTTCATTCTGTTTATTTCGAGTAGCGAGAAATTATGATAGCAACGACCGCGTAGTATGTATCTCGTGTGGCGTAACATCAAGACAGCTGACTCTTTCCAATACGCTTATGCGATTTACTTCGGTTGCCTCTGTTGGTTCCCTTTCGTTTGGTTCATTTGCTCGCTAACGCGCGCACCAACACACACACATACACATGCGGCCCGAAATGTGCGCTTTCTCTATAAATAGACCATACCTCTATTGGCTCTAAATAAAGCCAACCAATACATCCTTGGTCGGTTTTTATTTTTGTTCTATCTCGCTCTTCTCGAACGTATGACTAACAAAGAAAGGCCTCCGAGTGAGTGTATGCGTATGCATATGTGTGTTGGTTCGTATGTACATGCGTTCGATCATCTGTAATTTTGTGTTGCTTCAATTTTTGCGTTCTTATGCGTACTTTTCTTCATGATTTCCCTTTGATTATACACGGTATAATATATGCACCATTCCAATTTGCCGATATGCGATATTCTACGTTTCGTATACATTTGCAATCGCATTAGTTTATCCCACCTATCACTGTGTGAGTACCTATATTCACGGGTCGGTATTTTTTTGTGCACGAGTTGTGAGTTCGTTTCGATGTGTGCGACACGTTTGACTCATACATACACAACACATTTACTCATACACAACACATTTTATATTAATCCATTGTTTGGTCGTTGAGATATGGATTGAAACAAATGTTTGCTGGTCTGAGTTTCTCACTTCAGTTTTGTTTTGTATTTGCTCTTTGATGCACACGCCATCGATTTCAGCTCGCAGTGAATATTATCTCACGAGCGAAGTTTCCCTTAAATTCTGAACAACGCAAAACTCGTGTGTAAAACAACGTTAAGTGTAGCACAGACATTTTTAATATAAATTTCGTTCATTTTATCACAAACGCTGAACAAATCTTGAATAAAACAAACAGTGATTTTGAATCGTCAAAAACGGCTGAAACAGAGATTTTGTTTTTATCAGATTTCTACAGATTTCTAATACAAATATCATACGCCACGTTCTATTTCTTGAATGAACAAAAGATGTGTTTTTAATTTGGAATGGGTTTCATTATTTAGTTAGAACAAATGGATTATAGAACAATAAAGAAGTGATAAAATTGAATTCAACTTTGTATTGACGTAAAAAATATTGTCAATTTGAAGTTTAGCTACCCGATTTTAAATTCTCAATGAAAAAGAGTAAAAATAATTTAAAAAAAAAATGTAAAACAACATCTATATTAAAATCTGAATATAATTCAAAATGAAAATAAAATGCTGAATAAGACAAAGAATGAAATAAATCAAGGGTGTTTTAATAAAAAATGCTATAAAACAAAACAAAAAAAATAACCGATATAAATCTGTTGAATAAAAGAGAAACAATCCATGACCGTTTGTGTCGCAGTGCGTTGGAATAAGCAAATGGCAATAACGTGAATATGCATAGATAAATCATAGACGTATGGAGCAAGAATCAGCAGCAGAAGCATCAGCAATAACCAGCATAATTCAGGTTTGAGCGAACAAGAAATAAGCGTGAACAACGTTTAAAAAAACGCAATTATACGAAGAGGGGAAGAAAAACAAGACAAGACAACGACCAGTAAACACAGCCAGCATCATTTGTGGTGTGTATACGACGAGAGAGTGAGAGAGAGAGAGAGAGAAAGAGTTCAACAGAGAAGAGACAGGGAGTAAAATCACTTGTTAAACGTCTCCTCACATCGTGATGCAGGAATAAAAAAGAAAAACGAGCTCGTGCGTGTGTATGTGTGTGCTTGAGTGTTCAATCAGTGTCATTAAACTTTTAAAATTGAATCAGAGCTAAAATGTTTGATTTCTTTGTGTCCCACAGACATTTCTGGTAATCTCTTTGTATCTTTGTGTGTCTTGTTCGCGTTGGTTGAATCATCAAGCAGAGAAGAGTCAAAAAAGAGTCAAGCACATGCCAATCATCATCACAGAACTCAGTTCAAATAATAATCATACAAAAACTCAGGTAATTCAATGCATTGATTTTTCATTACTTCAAAACTAATTATTTCATCTCGTGAATTGAAATCATCCGAGCAATTTGATTCGAATGCTTGCAACAACGGAAAAAAATGAAGCAAAAAAAAATATTCTCAAATGAAATCAACCCAGTCCAATCGAAATGAATCTAATCAAATGATTTATATTGGGTAATAACCAAGCAACAACAGTAACAACACCGAGAACTTAGATATCGTTTCTACTGAATAAAATATGATTGTTTATTTATAAACTCAGTCTATTTATTCCGAATGTATCTATCTCTATCTCTCTCTCTCTCATGTACACAAACAAATTGAAATGTTTCCATCGTGGAATAGGGTTATTGTTCGTTTGTTTGTTGAGCCATTCGTTGACTGGCTGTTTGTTTATCGTGCATAAAAAACAAGCTGCAGAATTTATTTATTTTTTCTCGAAATTAAATTCGTCCACATTTTTCTCATATGCCCTCAATTCACGAGAGCAATTCCAATGAAAAACAGAAAAATGCATATTTCATCTTCGTTTTGCTTGCTCGCTATATTTGGTAGCTAGCCATCTGTATTTAGGATTAAATCAGAACAATTGAAATAGAGAGAGAGAGAGAAACAAAGCAATAAAAAAAAACTATTGAATTTATTCATGAAGAAGATTCGAGCGCAACGACATTTAGGCATTCACATAAATTGAAGGAATAATGTATGTTATTCAAATTGCTTGCAAAATCTATTCAGAATTGATTCTGAATAGAGAAAAGAAGTGCAGCACGCGAAGAGAAAATGTAGCACTTCATTTTGCATTTGCAACGATATGATTCATATGCAAATGGATTGCAATTGCAATTAACATTGCCCCAGAACAAAGTCGGACTATTTTTTTCTTTATTATTATTGAGTCAGCTCTCGATATCGGAAGAAGTTGCATTAATTGAATATTGATTACGACCGATATTCTTGAATTACCCATTCGACAATTCGTTCGATTAAGGAACATGTTCTCGATTATGTGCTCTTTGTTTCAATCTAATTGAACTTGAAAATCGAAAAATCGATTTGCGCTTGATGTCGCATGTTTGCGTCAAACACACACACGAGAATCACAGAAAATCCAATTTTGCTTTCACATTCAATCGCATCGGATGTGCAGCAAAATAAATGGTGCTACTGCTACTGTTGCTGCTTTCGTTGTTGTTTCAAGTGTGATTCAGTCGTCGTGAGTGCTGTTGCACGTCAAGGGAATTCCAATGAAAAAACAAAAAAAAAACATGCTTTGGTGTCTGTTGTACTTTCGCAGATAAGTGACACTATGACGTATGTTCTATGCATTGTCATTGCCATTAAGAAGATAGAGAGAAGCGGGTATTTGTTATGCACGTAGGTGGCTCACATCTTTCCATTCGCAATGAAATGCCATTAGCAGCAGAAAGTTCTCGTTTTTTCTCGCCAATTATGAATGGCTCTTCTCAAACATGCAGAGTACTCGGAATGAACCTTGGTCTATTAAACAAATGACAAAACAAAAGACAGACAGAGAGGGAAGGAGAGAGAGAGAGAGCATCTGCAAATCGTTTAGGTGAAAAATTCGGAAATTTCATTTCTATCCATTCATCTGAACCGAACTGAATGTTCTAAGCATTTTGGAATTTTTCGCCGCAACACATTGCAATTCCACTCACTCGTAAATCATTGTTGAATACCATATAAATACACCGATTCGGTATATGCTTCCGTGCACTTCTGGGTTCCAAAACAAGTGATCCGGATTGACATTTATTGACGACATAACGATAACGAAAACAACGAACAGAAGAAGAAGAACAAAAAAACAACAAAAACATTTTAATCCATTCATAGAGCGCGCGGCGCGCAAATGTGTGTGCTATATATAAATAGGAAGGAATATATTGAAACGCCGTATCGTCTCTCACTGGTAGCGAAATGAAAAGGAAGAATAGGAAAGAAAAACAAACATAAAAATTGTGAAAAATGTTTGGCGAAAGTGCGCATACTCGGGGTACATCGCCGATACCATACATACTCATACAGACTCGCACATCACCAACACATCGAACAGGCAACGCAACTGCATATACACATGGACTTGTTTATGTGATGAAAACGAGGCAATGACAGCGACAGCCACAGCAGCAGCAGCAGTAGCACCACTCATAACAATCATATCGGTGCCGTTGTCAAACAGTCAGACATTATCCGAGCGATGGAGAAAACGGAAAAATTCGAACAAACTGTCAAACTCAGCGAAATATCCCATTTAAGTGAAGCAAACAAATCGACGGGCATCGATTGAAGCATCTCACACTTTTTCAGCAAACAATTTCAAAAGAAACTCATACAAACACAAACGCTCGAAATGACAAAAATAGCAAATTTGACAGAGAGAAAAAAAGGGATACAGAAAAAAGAACACCACACGTCTTTGTGAAATATGAAAATCGGCATCCAAGTGCTTTTTTCATGCAGTGAGTATTCAGTTTTGATGAGATGAGAACGGAACTTCGGTTCGTCTATCGAAAGTGAAGTGTAAATTTCGAAATAAGTTTCGGTCGAGGAAAGAGGAAGGCAGAGTTGCAAAGTATTATTTGCGCTTTTTCAGTGTATTTTTGTACGAGTGCTGCTGTTTTTGTGGTGTTTGGTCAGCCAATACAATTTCGCAGTGCAACTAATCATACAATTGCGATAGCGAATTATCTTGTCATCTTGGGTGCTTATCGTTTCGCATTGTTCGAATGCATTTTCTCCGCTTCGCTGAACAATTTTTTTCGATCATGATTCAAATGATATAGCGAGAGACAGACAGAATAATAGTTTATCCAAAAGCAGTTCAAGACCACTCTCATTTATTGAGAGATAATAAATCGCTTTTGCCAACTGGTTCGTGTGTGTGTGTGCCTGTTGTTTTTTGTTGCCAGTGCTCAATTTTTTGTTTCGTCGTTTCATTTTCTACGTTACGTTGTTAATGCAATCGCAATTGAGATTGGTGTACGTGTTTGCTCTTGTTTTGAATTTGCAATGCAATTGGGCGAAAGTATGAGCGAAATCGGTTTTTGATTTTGAATATGAGTAAATTTTTCTGCGATTCGTTTTGGCACACAATAAGAAGAAGCGATAAAAATCGAAAATTTAATTGAATTCCATCGAATTCGTTAGTTACGGTGCAGTGAGTGTGTTTGCAAAACGAGTCATCATCTTGAATACCAGATAAACTTGACTTGATTGCGTTAAAACGCCATCATTCTTGATGCGGTAAGTAAAATGTGCTATATTCCGAGTATGCCCATTCAAATGAGAGAAAGAAAAAATCACACCAAAAAAGATTATTTTCTTCTTCTCATGCATTTAATGTTCCGCAAATAGTGAAAAAAAAATTTAAGAGCCTCATCAATTTGTAACGTTTTTGTTTCTGCGAGTGTATGCCATGAGCAGCGAACAAAAACAAAAGAAACGCCACATTGACTGCAACAAAAGCAGCTCATGGCTATAAATAAAAGAGAGAAGGAAGCATGCAACAGAAAAAAAAAATTAAAATTCATGAGAAGAATTGAGCGAAAAGTAAAATTATTGCTGTTGTCTATTTCGCGTTCGGCGAGAAAAAAAAAGGTTCCTGGCATTTGGTAAACGAGACATTCTCGTTTTACGGTTCGTTTTTTTTCGCGACTCACTCGCAATGTTCTGGCTTTTAGGGCACCGAGCTGCGTGAGCCATTTACACATGAATCACTTGCCAAGTGCTAAAATATTATTATTATAATTTCGCCTAGCTTTGCTCGAGATGCGAATAAGCCGTCGATATAAACGATTTTGACTTGAAAATCATTTCATTTTTTTTTACCGTTTCGTGGGTTCATGAACCTAATGCCTGTTATTTGTTCATTTTTTTTTACGTTCGTGTGAACGCTAAACCTGGTTTCGTTTCATCGTCGGAGTTGCATATCGCACAGTTATAACACACACAAAAATCCATTTCTTGAACATGAAAATGAACCAAGAGCGAGCGAAAAAAGAACCAAGCAAGCGAACAAAATTGAAGGAATATTGCAAACGACGTCGTAACAATGAAATTGCATGTGTAAATATCCATCGAGTGTGTATCGTATGATTCGATTTCGGTTTTCCTGCAGTCACACGTACCGACTTTTTGACTTTTACACGTATATACATTTCCGTGTTGCCATGAAAGCCAACCGGGTGTGTTGTGCAAGCGTAACACCATTTTTCATTTCAAAAAGAGCATTATTTTTACTTGTTTCTGTATGGTTGAGCATGTGAGTGAGTGAAAGAAACGGCGATGGCGGTGTGTGTGGTGACTTGTCTGGCTTACGATACGATACGTGTCGTATGCACACTTGGCGACCATTGTCAACGCCGCTTTATAGTAATTTTCTTGCTTCGTGCTCATTTTCCGGTATGATCCGTGTTTTTTTTTCTTCTCTAATTTGTTGAATTATTCCAATCTAAAATCAATAACCATACACAAGCAGTAATAAAATGGTGAAACCATCTTTGCATATGGCTGTTTCCAGCTCGGGTATGACTACGATACACAGGATTCTTTCCATCTGAATAGATAAACAATTCGTAAAGTATAGAAGGAAAGCTCTCTCTTTAGATCGATAGAAAAGAGATTGAGAGCGAGTGGAAAAAAAAGGTCAGGACTTATAGAGAATGAAATAAAGATCGCAATTGCTCTAGATTTTGGAATCATGACAATTTTTATGCTGTCTGTGTGTATGTTGTACTCACATGACATAACGTTTCTGTGTCAAAGTGCAAAAGAATACCATGGAAAAACGACGATAAAGAAGAGAGAAAAAAAAACGACGAAAACAGCAGCAACGTTGCAAATAAAAGCCATCATGATGCAATCGGGTATGTTACTATAAGTGGAGCGAATTTTCCAGCTCTTCGCATTCACACACACGCACACACACACACACATACACCCATATATGCTCGAAGAAAAACATGTGAAAAAACTGCGACTCGAAAAACCCATAATCGAGCCACCGAGAATGGGAGCCCGTTTGCATTTTCTTTAGCGATTTGATTATGTGTCGTTTGAACGAATGTTATTGTAAAACTTTTTTTCTATGCTATAACGACTGAACAATGAAATGGTGTGAGAGGAACAAGGAGAGCACCCGAAAAGAAGGAGAAGCAATAAAATGACGATGTGTAGTAAACATAAACAACGAAACTCGTTCAAACTAATGGGAATTGTAGAATGAAACGAAAGCACGAGAAAAAAAAACAAATATTCGACAACATCGTCGTTGTCGCGATATGTGCGGGCACGATGGGATCCCGAAATTGTCACAAATTTTAACGTCAATACATATGGGAGACGAGACTGATGTCGACATTCAAAATATTCCGCTAATTTGTTTTGTTCTAATTTCGGCTACACATTGACAGCATGTAACCAAATAGTCTATATATATACTATCGCTTCTATGCTACGCAACCGCAAGCACAAAAACGCTCGCTCTCGTTCTATTCACACTCTGCTGCAAAATTATTGAATAAACAAAACAGAGATGATAAATGCAAATGGAATTCCAACAATTTTTTCTTTTTTTTTTCACTTCATCAGTTGTTGAGTTGTGATGATTTGTTCGATTTTCATGTGTTCACTGGCCATACATACGCCTCGTGACTATTTATTTACAAATATTTGTAAGAAATATAAATTTTCTTCATTTTCCGCACCTAAATTATTTAACAAACAGCTGGCCAATTCACGGACGTATTTTTTTTTCCGTTCCGTTACCAAAACGAACTTTGTCGCTTCGTTTTATCGAATTTCATTTCGAATATCGACATTGTCGATATGAGTGTGCCGAGTGACAAAAGTAATAAAAATCGGGCTTGGTTCGATAGTGTGGTTGTGTACATCACACAAATGAACGATTTATTTATTTATTGCGACTGTGATGCGGTGGCAACGCATTCAATTGAAAAGTGTGTGTATTTAGTAAAAGCGAACAAAATATTGGTTCTTTTTTTCAAATGCATCGGAAATGTGGCTCGCGTATCCGATTAATGTTGAACAAAAACATGCACATATCGTCTCACGGCGCGACACCATCACCGAGTCGATCCATCCGAAGTGATGAAATCGAGATGTTTACACCGAAAAAAAAACGGCGGATGATATCGACGAGTTTTTGTTTGGCTGTCAATGGCGGCGGCGTTGTCGTCATCGGCACGCTCACGGTTTCTAGATTATGTTTGGCTTAGAAAAGAGAAAAAAAGTTGCCATGACTTCATGTAAACCCATACGTCTTTGATCTAACGCCAGACTTTGAAAAGTGGATGGGGAAAATCGTCGCATTTGATATCGACACTCGGTATTATTGATGTTTCGGTTCACCTTCACCCAGCTCACCTTACCACATCCAAGTCCAAGCGACGCACTCCACTCAGTCCCATCCAATTTTATGATGTGACTATAAAATGTTTATTACAGTTTCATGAATCAATGCAACAAATCAAATAACACTTTATCCACCCATTACCAACACTTCAATAAATTCATGTCGCTTCAATTGAAAAATCTTACCCCACCCAGCTCCATTCCCATCAATATAAAATCAAAGGCTTTGTGCTAAAAACAATCACTATATAGTGGAAATCAAAGTCAAGTAATCCATTTTGTGACTCGAAAATTTATCGTCTGCTAAAAATGAACGCATTACTCAACTTTCAAACTAAATGAACGAAGTGTTCATGTTCATCACTTACGGCCACTTTCCATTTTAATACCATTAATGAATACACTTTCGAATTGCGGAGATTCTGATTTTATTTTATCTCTTAGTTCAATGGATTTTACTGGCTCAAGTTTTATTCTCAACTGCTGTTTCCCATAGCTATTACATTATTGATAAAAATGTGTTTACATTTCTTGTATACTTCACCTGACCCTGATCTCTGTGTTTAGATTTTGTTTGGTAAATATTTTTCAATTAGTCTATGCATCTGTTTTTTTGTTGTTGTTGTAAAAACTAATTATCTTAGCACATTCCATTCGGACACTGAATCTGTTTTTGTTTATCAACTCCACTACCGAATTGATGGATGTTAACATGGGCACGATTTTGATAAACGGGCCCAGACCCAAATTGATACGGCCGATAAGCAATTTCTTCTGTACTTATTACATTCACTTCTTCAACTTCTTGTTTTGGATCGTTTACATTCATGTCGTCAACTTCAGAATTAGTTTCGATCGGTAGATTAGTTGGATGGGTCAGAAAAGTTGGCATCAGTGTAGGTGGCTCGGTCGATCTTCCTGGGCATCGTGTTGTGTTACAATAAACTCGAGTTTCCACACATATACACTTGGAACAGCCATTTACACCCGAATCAAACACATCCAATTCACCGTAGACCTTCCCATGGAATTTACACGTAAAAATGCCAATCTCTATTCGAATTGAGTTCGAATCGAAGAAAAAGGGAAATGTTGTAAAGAGTTTTGTTTTGCAAGGAAAACGCAAGAGATAAAGCAAAAGTTTGGAAAAAGTAAGAGAACAAGGCAAAAGAAAATGAGATAAAGAAGAATTTTACAATATCAAAACGGATTCAAGAAAATTTAAAGGACAAATTTGATGAACGGGAAAAAATACAAACAACATTTTTCTTTTCTCAGTTTAGGTGCAATTTGTTCCTTCTATTAAAAGTCACTTTTAAACAAGAACAGAATTTTCGAAAGGAAAAGATGGAATTTTTGGGTATATTTTCCATGCTTCTAATTCAATCCTTTAAATTTTCTTGACTTATTTCAATTTATTGTAAGTAAAATCCAGAAAAATTCAACTTTTGCCTGTAAAAAAAACTCACCAGCGCAAAAATGTGTCCCAAAAACGGCGATTAAAACGACAAAAACGAAAGGTGTGTGCGGTAACATTATGCTAATCGGATTTTTTTTTTTCAAAACTGTAATAAAATGCTAAACTAGCTAAAAATATGAACTGTGTACTGTAAATCAACAACATGTAGCGACTGGTCGATTTTAATTACACGAGAAAAGTGTGCAGTCAAACGAGTTTAAATCACAAATGTTACATTCTGTTATTGAGTGATTGAAATATAATGGAATTGGAAGAGTTTGCAATCGGTCAATATACATATTTTCTTGTTTTGATTCACGCGGAACTGTTTTTGTTGTTGATGATTCAGGCAGAGGTTAAGTCATGATAGCCCAGCAAATATTTGAGCTAAACATGATAACAATTGTTTATGTCTGGTGTGCAATATATATTCAGAGTAAACATAAACATGATTCCAATTTTTAGGTGTTTTTTAGGTGTGTTAATAGATTTTTTTTTCGAATTCTTCGGGGGTTTTCCCATGTTTTCTTCATGGGTTCTATTCTAAAATATGCTGATGTTGTAAACTGTTTACATTGTTTCATTCACGGAATTCGATGGAAAATATCAAAGGTCGTCCTTGTCCGAAATAACTGTCCCAACTTCGGCACTCGATAATTGTTCAATCAATGGGAAGCCTTTCAAAACATACTTTCCATTTGTATGTTCCAATTGTATTTGTTGCTCGTTGTTATAATTAATTGATTCGACGAAGTTGAGATTTTGGGCGAAGAAGCTGCACACATTCAGTGATAGCCTTGGCGACTGTTTCGATGGACATGGCTCTTGCAAATTGTACGGAAATTGTATCGTTGTTGTATTACTGATTTCAAATGCGACTTCGTAGTTCCATACACTATCAAAAGTGTAGTAATTAAAATTTACACGACACAAAGACATTGGATCCATTTTAATTTTCATTTGTTGTGTCGCTAGACGCAATGGTTTGTCGACAGAGTAATACAGTTCATTTGAACCGACAAATACCACGAAAATCTTTCGATTTTGTATGGATGGAAATTGAAAGGCACCCATAAGCCCTTCAACCTTGCTTATGTTTATGCGGTAGGTTTCAGTGGCATCCGTTACGAAAAATGTTTCCAGCTGAACGTCTTGCTTTATACCATTCGGATTTCGGGCAAACGCTTCGTTTACATTGTACAATTGTCTATTGAGCCCCTCATGTTTATTGATTAATTTTTTGCGATAAACTTTCTCGACGACGAACTCAACACCGATTCTTTTCTTCAGTTGACGCAAGCAGTCCGTGGACAAAGTAGAATTTCTTGCACGGAAAAACTGTTCCATTATTTGTGTTCCAATGAAATTCAAGTCAGATTCAGCTTTTTGGGCATCTGCAAAGGAACGAAAAAAAAGAGGAAATTCTCCAATGAAAAGGGAACCAAAATAGTTTGGTTAAAAATATACAGTGAGTTCTTTTTTTGGGGATAGATTCAGTCTTGTATACAAGAATATACATATTGATGAAATAAGTGACATTCCACGATCGAAACCAATTTTTCTACGGAATCCAAACTAAAAATCTATAAAAATGTTTTTTTTTTTGGCGTGTGTCGGCATTTTGAGCATGAAAACTGAAAATTGAATTTTTAAAGCTACCGATGCGTCAAAATAGATGATATGAAATGCTCTTCTGTGCCTGCCTCTTACATACCGCTTGATAATATTGACATCAAACACACGAATAAATATAGAAGAAATATTAGATTCATTTTCACTTGATTTCTGTGGAAACGAAAAATATATGGAGAATGAATTTGCACTTTGAGTTTTAAATATCAAAATCTGTTTTGGTTGAGCGAATACAACTGAACAACTCCTAATGTTGCTATAAACTGAAACCACGAAAACAACCATTCTCGTGGAGAATGAAAAAAAACTCCCTTTATTAAAATGGATTGTTACATGGAATATTCTCGACGTTTCGAAATGTTTTCAAACCGACAAAGCGTTCAACAAATTATTATCAACTCAATCAAAATATTTTAACCTTTGACATTTTTCGGCATATACTTCGAATTCATTTATTCACATTATAACAGAGTTTTTTATTCACGGCGTAGAATTTTGGATGCTGCACATATTTATGTATCCCATATGGAAGTACAGCAACCATCGCTCCATATACAATAAGTTCTTTTTACCGAGAGGACGCATTTTTCCATAGAACCGTTCCTGTATATTCACTTTTTTCATCACATTTTGTTGCTTTTGCCCGACGGCCTTCATGGGCTTTTGTACAAAAAAAATTGTTCAACAGGATAAAAGAGAAAGTTGTAATTAATTTGTTCGTTTAATATGGAACGACTTGAAGAAATTAATAGTGCAAACCGATTGTGAGCATCCAGTATCTCGTAACGAGAGCATGTACGCCAAACTATTAACAAACTAATTAACGGCCAGAGTAATTGTTGCGGCCTTTTAATGCCGTTCTTAAAATAGATACATTGTAATTTAAATCGTTCGTTTGTTCGTCCGATGAATTTATTGCCCTTTCCTACGAGCAAAAAATAAATTGTAAAACAAGCAACGACCGAAAAGTGAATGGCCAGACTTATTAAAGTTGCGAGAAAAAACCGAACAGCACAACAAACCGCTGATAAGTAAATGATTTCGCTAATTATGTCGTAAAAGATGATGATACTATCAGCATCGTACAACAAACTGTACATCACCAATTTCTCTCATCGAACTTGTACGATGGACATGGAACAGTGGAAGTAGTGTAAGACACGTATTTTGCCGTTGAAGTTTGATCACAATGAAAATTTGCTCACAACGATGAATCTTGTGATAGAATATGTTAAATATTTTGCTTTTAATATCCAAGTAAATTGCGATTCTTCAATTCAAGTTCGATGATAAAGGGATAACCCTTTAAGGAATTTCAATTTCACATTCTTATCAACTTGACAGTGGTTGATGCTTTAAAAATCAAAATAATACCTTGTACATTTAGAAACATGGGATGACGTCGAGAGAGTGGAATGAAGCAAATGCGTGGTTGTGTTAAAATAAAAAAGTTTTTTCACTTAGAGTATTTTGTGTGGTATCAAACCAATTTCTTCTAATTTTCCCGAAGGATTTCAGAAAAAAATAAATCCAATGGGCGTTTAAATCGAAATTCATCTTGTCTAAAATTTCCAGTTTCCACCTTGGCATTCATGAATACTATCCATTGAAAAGTTTAAATCAATGGGAAGCCTCTCAAAAGGCGCTTTCCATTTAATTTGATGCTTTGATCTTGTTCTCTATCTCTAATTAATGTGAAGAAGTCGAGTGTTCCATTGAGAAAATCCAAAATCATTGGTAACTTTGGCCGCAGTTCCGAGAGGCATGTCAGTTTCAGAGCATGTAGAAAGTGAATAATAGATGTATTACTAAATGCAAAGACTAATTTCGTAGAAATATTATCGTTTGTGTTGTAATTGAAATGAACACGATACAAAGATAAGGGTCTTCATTCCATTTGAATTTTGACTAACGATGTAATAGGACGAGTGGGTTGCCTAATATACCGACCGAATATAAATGTGGTCTATTTTCAGTAAATTTGAGTGCATCTGACTTGTTTAGGACTGTATGAGCTTCAACTCCGAAAAGCTTGTCAATTTACTGATGTTCATGGCATGAACTTCATGCTGTATGATTCAAGCAAATCCCACATAAAAATAGATTTCGACTGAATATTTTACTTAATATTATTGGAACCCCGAACAAGCTATTTTTGTTTTCATTCCGAAGCAAACCGTCATCCACATCACTCAAATATATTTGTTGAGCTTCTCATGTCTGTTGATTAACCTTTTCCAATGCGCATTTTGCTTACAACGGCTTTCATGTAGAACTTTTTTCTTCATTTGTTCGGCACATTCTGCAGTTCAGACTCTACGTCTACACTCATAGCTTGGTTGTCAATTGATGAACACATCCATGATTTGCTATCAAATAAAGTAAAAAAAAAAAATTGTGCAGGCGCTCTTTCCATTCGCGTATTCGTAGTGGAACAGAAAAAAAAGAACAAATTAACCGAAACGAACGCAACATTCGAAATCGATCAACACACAGTCGACATTTTCGAAATTATCATTTTGAACACAAAGAAAAAAAGAATGTAAATTGAAAAGGAAATGACAATTCCACCATTTTCAGTTCCATATCGGTTGATGATGTCGACGAATGAAAAACAGAAAAAAAGTATTGTTAATGTTATCATTCCAGTCAGTTTCCGGGATAAAAGTGATTGAAATTTACAGATAATGGAAATGAATTTTTTTTCGGGCGTTGAATTTATTTCAATGGTTGGATAAATCCCAAGTAATTGAATCGCATACAAGCGATAAAATAAACATGGTTTAAAGTAACAAAACAACTGAAGTCATCGGAATTCATCAACGAACTGAGCTCATTCAAACCTATATTTACATATCTCAGAAGCATATATCCTGTATGAAGTGTACACTGTACAGCCATGATATGAAATTTAGATTCTAAATGAAATCTATACAAAATTTCGAAAAATCAGGGTCAATAAACGTAAAATGATTGACGCACTTGTGGCCAACTTTCAGGCATTACTTGCAAATGTCAAGCCACAATCGAGCTGATTACAACGACGTAATACACTAGCAATGTGGTAAGATTTTACTAAATCCGAATCCACCGTATGAATTCCAACATTTTGGTCATTGTGATGGACATCACTCAATTGTACATTATTCCCGCATTTAAAATTATGGGAATCTCCATAATTATTCATTGATTAACAACATGTGTGCTAATCGCCGTATCGATCATTTTTTCAGTGAAAAGTTTACAACTTTTGCAAAAGATTAACGTTGCATTATTATTTAATTCGTCCTAGAGTCGAATCGTGATTAGAAGCTAATGCTTCTTAGTATTCTATTTTAATATTTTACTTTGAAATTCAATTTGATTGAGTTTGACGATTGCTAGTATCGTGTCAATGGGCACAGCAACGCCAGATACCATAATACTAAACGCATCCATTCTCATTAAGACTTGGTGTAATTTTTTCGTGCCAAATTTGAAAACAATGACGAATGAATGGGTGTGTTTAATATTATGCACTATACTAGCGATAGTCGATTGCGATCCATTGATTTATTCAACAATAAAACTCCCAAATTTGCTTTTATTCACGATGACCTTGCAATGGCGAATATCAAACAGTCACTAAACAATGAAAATAGCCAAAGTAAACAGAAACTCTTTTAATGTACCATTTGTACGCTTTTTTATTTGAACATTTGTTTATTGTGAGAATCAGAATGTGTCCAGTGAGACAGTTTTGAGTTTTATTTTCTCGAGTTCATCGCTATTCAGTAAGTCCTTCTCGTCATTGTGTGAACTCTTCTGAAAAAAACTTCGAATCACTTTCTTCATCCGATGAATTCAATATTGGCTCCTCTGGCGGATGTGTTGGATCCAAAAAGTTTTCGAAAAACGTCTCGGGAATCCCTTCTTCAATCTTCGTTTCTGCCGATGTAGCTGTTCGAAGAGGTTTCAAAAGAAATTGATAGTTTGTTTGACAGTTAAATGTATCGGTCCAATGTGCCCTATAGTTTAATGTGAAGCTTACAAAACTCAATGCTACTAATGGCTTACCTCCAATCGATAATGAAACTGATAACACAAAAATAATTATAAGTGCAATGGTTGTGATTATTCCGATCTTTGCCATTTTTTTTTTAATTCTCCTGCCTAATTGCGAATCAAGCTGGAATTATTATCAGTAAACAGATGAAGAAAAACAGACAGTATTTGGTTACACGGCTGATTCCAACTGGTGAAGATAATAAGTGTAATAATGAGAAAACTTTATTAAGAGAATGATTTTATGATGTGTTTCAGTCGGCTTTTACAAAACGAATGAGAGTAGAACACTTGACAGTTCTGTAGCTATCGCACAGAGAGCAAAGCGTGAGGCTCGTTCACAATGACATGTTTCGTACTAAATTATTCATAGTTCAACAGTTCTCGCCAGAGAGCAAATTAACAACCTGGTCGTGCAACGAATGAACAACGAGTGAGCAAAGTAACAGACGTAATAAAAATTAAACACATCGATTACTGGCAATAACTTGAAATTTTTTATTTGTAATCTTTTCATGGAAGTTGCATTTTCAATGTTATTTTCATGACTATGATGTTGCTTTGATTAAGATATCATTACCACATGTCGAATTAAACACAGTCGAAGCATTATTTCACAGTACAATGTTCAAAGATTATTTCAGTTTAAAATAAATCAATTTGCAATGCAAATAATAAATTGACTTGAGTTGTTTACAAATAACAACCCTTTTGCTGAAGGAGCAACATCATACATCACGTTATAATACCTTACATTAATCGCGTAGTCAGAAAAATCTCCTCTTTTTAATTTATTTCTTAGTTCGTATTTCAGTCATTATTCAATCTCTTATCTATTCTATTCTATTTCCTCCCCACCCATTATCGACTCTAGTTTAAAATTATTTATTCAATCTTTAACTACATTATTTCCTGTCTTTAGGCACTGTTTCCAAGATGCACCCTCGTGCACGATTTTCTCCACATATTTTATACAGTGAGCGATCGTGCGTCTTGGAACTAGAGCCATTAATAACAACAAACTATCAACGTTTTTCATTATCTAAAATCTCTGTCTCCACTTCGAAGCTCGACAATCTCTCAGCCATTGGAAATCTCATCAGAACTAACTTCAGAATGAATGTGTCATTTTCCTTGACCCATTCTGGCTGTTCATCATTGTCATACATAATTGACTGCGGAAAGTTTGGGTTATTTTCAAGAAATTCCACTATATTCAGTGGGATTTTTGGCCACAAATTCGGAATGCAATACTTTAAATGGGTCGGAACGCGAATAATTGATTTTTAACTGATTCTTAAGTCGATTTCGTAGTTCCAAACCAAGGGTAAATCACTCAAAAGTAATACAACGCTGCTGAAAAAGTAATATAACGTGAAAAAAGTAATACAACTTTTTAGTGAATTGCCCCTTGTTCCAAACACTATCGAATGAGTAGTAATTAAAATGTCCTAGAGTGGAGGCTAATGGTTTCATTTTCATTCTTGTGGCCGGTGTCAAAGCGCCAACAGGATTTTCTGACCGTTGACTGTATTTCTCATCACCAGAAAAGTCCAAAGAAATCGTTTTGTTTTGCTACGTTTGAAATTGAATCATTCCCCGAATACCGTTCAATTTGCCAATGCACATGCTGTATGAATCAAGGTAACTCCAATAGAAAAATGTTTGGAGCAAAACTTCTTCTTCAACTTCGTTCGGATTTTAAGCGAAAGTCTCATTTACATTACGTAATTGTTTGTTAGGTTTCTCGTGTTTACCGGTCAATTTTTTTCGATAAACACTGTCCACAATCAATTTAATGGATAACTGACTTTCAAACTCCTTGCGGCAATCTGCGTCCAAAGTTTGATTATTCTACTTAACAAATTCTTCCATGATTTACAACACCAACAGAAACGTAATCTGGATTTCGTACATATCGCGCATCTGCACGTTGAAGGAGAGAAATAATGGAAATCAAAATTGTGCTCAAAACAAAATTATCTATTCATGTCACACCATTTAATAACAATTTTTTTTCTACTTTGGTTACGTGGAAATGGAAAAAGTGAAACGATAAACATTGACTCAAAAAGAAATCGCGATTTGTTCACATACCAATAAATGATACTGATATCAGCAGCACAAATATAAACGTTCGTTATGCTATTGACATTTCGTTCCACATTTTTTTTTTTTGAACCGTTAATTAATTGAATTAATTGTTGTTTGTTTTGTCGTATCTCCCAGAATATATGCAAAAATGGCAAACATCAACTGAACTTGTTGGATTTTTACTGTGAATTGAATTCTTTACTCGGACCAACTCTGGTTTATAATATTCGTTTAAATCATGAATGAAATTCCTACGCACACTTTATCGATTCTACGCAGAATTTTACAATCATTTGAATGAGGTCAAAAAACGTAAATTGTATGACGAAGTTGGAGTTTTTGGAAATTCCACGCAATACGCTGAAAAGATGGAATACGAATGATGAGTAACGATATGTATTCGCTGGGTGGAAGAAAGTACATACGTTTTAGTTGTTGAGCGAGATTCGGCTTTTTTTTAAATAATTTTAACTGATTATTCATTTCCCACGATGATTGCTTACTTGGATGAATGTTACATCATCTCAATTTCTTTCCGAATTCACAGAAACATCAACACTCGCGCTGATCCGCTGTTAGCGTTAATATGACTGAGTCAACTGATTGGCGTGAAACGTCATCGGCGAAACGATCTAGTGTCTCGTGCGCTATGAAACATGAAGAACGCTGTATTGTCTACCATAACCAGACAGAATGACGCAAGCTATAGACCATATGAACGCGTGAGAATAAAAGACTGACACTAGCAGGTTTTTCGCAAAAGCGGGATAACAATTCGTTGCACGCAAAAGAGACATTTCAAAAGGTTACACGCAAACGGAAAATTTTATTTTGAATTTTAAAGCCGTGGTTACAACAACAATATACTTCTCTCTTGCGTGCAACCTTTTGAAATGTCTCTTTTGCGTGCAACTGATTTTTATCCCGCTTTTGCGAAAAACCTGGTAGCGTCAGTCTTTTATTCTCACGCGTTCATATGTCATATGACCTTATTAATATGGTTTCAATTTGAATTGCATTTCATTCACAATAAAGAATGAAAGTAATATGACTTGTTATGAAATAAACCTCCTTAAAATATGAAAATCATATTCAACCAACCAAAAAAAAAACTCCGATATAATCATATTCACCCAAATAGATTGCAATTCGGTTTTTAATGACGTCAATTTTACTTTGCGACAGGAAATGTGATATACTTAAGATTTTTTACACTCAAAGTTTTATTTCGTCAAAAATTCTTGAAAAAAATGACCAAAATTACATATTTGCTAGGATAAAACTAAACAGTTGAAATTTAAATCATTGATTTCTTTTAACTATACAAACATTTTATTTTTAGAAATCAATAAAATTTACCCATTACATTTTCTGCATTTAATGCAACAAAAAATGCGAAAACATGCACAAAAATTAGAATCTCTTTGAACAATACCATTATTATGCGGAATTACAAACAAAATTTCCTCAGAGAGAAAATCGTGTCCAATGCAAAAATTGATGCCGAGTGCTTAACGTTATCAAACTACGATGCACAATGCACATTAGAGGAAATATCGAATGAATCGATTTTTCATCGAATCATCATATATACGCTATATCTACTTATGGCATATAAAACGTGTATCTAATTATTTCTCGATCATATAATCAAAAACTTTATCGTTTTCGTCTTCACAAATCAACAATTGCAGCGCAAATATTTAGTCAAGCAATGATTTTTGTATCAATTGGCACACACGCGTGCACATGACGAAGTAAATATTGTAAACTGACTGATTGTTCCGTTCCATCGCTTGTTTTTACACTAGAAAAAGTTTTAATCATTTATTGATAAAAGTTGTAGCAATCACTAGCAGACTCCAGTACTGCAGTCAGAATCCATATTTAATGAGACATGAGGCGTCAATGGTGCAATGGTAGCATGGTTGCCTTCCAAGCAATTGATCCGAGTTCAATTCCCGGTTGGCGAAATTTTTTCACTTTTTCCAACATTCCTTCTTTTGTTTTTTAAATTTTTTCATTCTTTCTCATCCATTTTAATAATTTTTCTCAATTAGAAAACGAAGAAATCTTCTGAATCAACAAAAATGTTGTAATTTTCTCAAAGAAAATATTTAATCTCTGAAAATACCATCGGAAGCATTTTTGCATTCATTTATTTTCTTTCTTCCATCTCACATCTCCGACTCTTGCAAATGAAACTCTTGTTTTACTCTTAAAACTTGATTTTTATTATCCCAAACACAAAGCTGACTTAAGCTCATGACAAAAAAAGAAGTTTCTGTTTCACATTGTTATTCCGCAAGACTTGTCGCTTTGCCGAATATCACATCAACGCCAATGTTGGTGAGTTTTTCAGTGGTCGGAAAGTTTCGCAAAATAAATTGTCCATCCTTTTCAATCAACTTAAGCATCTTATCATCTTCATACTTCAGCGTCGAAATGAAAGCTTTATTTTTGTGTAAGAATTTCCCTAACGGTTTTTTCACAAAAACAACATCATTTCCAACAACGTCCAGATGACTGAATGTCGAGTTGTCAGCAATTTGAAAGTGTATCAAATAGTTATTAAGATCATCGTACTGAATGAAATTAAATGTAACATTCATTTTGGAGAGCTGTTCAACGGTGACATTCTGTGATGGAAAGTGTACTGTTCGTTCGGTGGTTGTGCCCGTTCTTTCCACTTCTTTTTCCGTGAATGTGGTCGTTGATGTTCGTTTGTAGGAGAAAAATTTGATTATCTTTTCGGTTCGTATTTGTGTGGTTTTGGTGATGGTGAGTTCATAATTTTCGATGCATTTCAACGAGTAACTAACGGTCGATATATTTTGTTGGACCGGGCTTGCGTATCGGTTGATTGAATTACCACTTTAAGTTGTATTTCTCCTCTTCCAACGTATTGCCTTCCGATTTCCACTCGTAATCACTTAAACAAAGTTCCTAGAAAAACCATGAAAATTTTAATTTCATTTCGAAATTACTATTTATTGACTTAAAATATCTAATTATCAATGTTTGATTTGTTCTGATTTTTTGAAGAAAAATCGTCAATTTCGCTACTTGTGCTACTAGATAGTATCTGTCATGCGCTTCTGCTTGACCTATAATTCACTTTGACAAACACAGGAAATGTATAACAAAATAGATATTTCTGATTCATATATTGATCCATTTTTTTACTCTGATAAGATTCTGACGAAGTTTGGTAACTGAAGTAAAAAGCAATGAAGGTAGTTGTCATTTCAATGAATTTTGAGATATCATTCGTCAATTCTTGAAACTGCTACACCCTTTAATTGAAGCTAGAATATTTTTCTCGTGGATTCAAGTTGATGATCTCAGTTAAAATTTATAAAATTTTCCATTACAAATTGCAAGTGAATGAAAAAAGTCTTTTCCACAAACATATTAATCCATTTCCCACCACATGTTTCATGTCTCAAACGGAAATTGTAATATTCGATAGAATATGACTTGAGAAATAACTCAATTCCGACAACATCTAGTCCCGATCGGTTTAAAAACAGAGAAAAGCCTGAAAAATCATAGCCAAAAATGCGATGCTTTAAATATCTCTAAAGACGCTCGTCCGAATTTGAATCCAAGATTAACACTCAATGAAATATTATAGGGGAATTTAACGCCGATCGATACGGACGACGATACTTCCATTGTTTTTGATATGGTCGCTTCATAATACTGCATGAATTTGATTGAGTATCCTACAGTGGTAATCTCTTCTCTTGATGGACCGTTGTTAACAGCTTCGGCATCTGTTGAGTGGACTACGATTTTATTTTGTTTGTCGATTCTTCCAGCGAATTCTTGGTGATTAAGTGACAAAACGGTGTAGTTGAGCTTACTAGCAGCAATCAATTGGGGACAACTGTCAAGACTTTTGCAGCCCACTGTGCCTAGGATTGTCTTGAGCCGAGTTGAATTGAATTGCAAAAAATATCGCTTGGCTATTTGGCTTCGAATGTTGGCGTAATCACGAACTCCAGGCTCGTCTTTCAATTTATTCAACACACTTGGCACATCCGTTGAAACCACTCACAAAACTCTCGGAATTGTTGTAGTTTTTTCCATCCACTTTACATGTTTGAGCTGGGGAGAAAAACAGAGAATTATTTGAGTACACAGTTAATTTAAAAACAATTCTAATTTGAAGATCAAAGCCTTTGTACTCGAGTGCCACATTTTAATTTCGGGAAAGTGTTTGCACAACGCTTACCATCGACAGATGCAGCTTGCACTGCAACAACGAATACAAACAGGAAAAATATTTCAAATCATCCCATTTTTTTTTTTCAAGTAACACTTTGCAATTGTATCAAAAATGACTCTATTTCCAAGTGTCGTTTTGAACCGAAGTAAAAAAGTAACTCAAATATGTGATGAAGACAACATTACTTCCGTTTATATTACCGTTTCTTTCTTATCACTTGGTCAATGTTTGCACACTGTTGAGATAGTAATATTGTATCTTGCATGTGCTTCTACTTGACGGTCGGTATTTTTTTGTACCAAAATGGACTCATTCAAAAAAAATGCCCTTCTTCAATTGCAAAAATATGGCGTAATATTTACAGACAAGCTGTTTGCATAGCATTAGTAGACGACTTTAACTTGAAGTTTTGGCCACTTGAAAAATTGACCGTAACCGATTTTTTTCTCAAGTTCTTTAATTATTATTATTACTCACAGTCATCCGGTTGCATCTTACTTTCTTGTTGAAAATGTCATCCCTTCACTTCATTCTCCAGCAGAGAATCCTTTCTCTCTTTCAGCCTTTCTTTCCATAATAATATAAGTTTAAGTGCTTATCGTTTGAGTATGTTTAATGGAATCAAAATTGTTTTCCTCGTCACGACTGAATTGAATGATGAAAAAAAAATTCTCCATATAGAAACTGAACTAAATCCATAATCCCTCATAAAATGAACCACAAGTCGACGAGCATCATCTATTTACCGTGGATTTTCACTTGTTTATTTCGACTCAACCATTTTTCCCATAGAAGTTCAAGGCGATTTCTTTATAAATAATTTAACAACGTTCTAATTTCCCTCTATATACAATTTTCGAATTGAAAATGAGTTTAATCGCCAAGCAAAATCCATAAACTTTGCAATGTTGATGCACCACACGCCTGAAGCTGTTTCTCCAACTAACAATTTTAATGAATAATTGTTTTTTAATCGCTTGATATTCGCAGTATACCCCAGTCTAATAGTGAATTTAAATGAATTTTCTTCGACGTTTAAAATATTCGTTGGTTTTAAATCCGTTCCGGCGCTGCATACAACATCTCAAATTCCAAAGTTCGTAATTCTTTGTGGCGTTGGAAAAGTTTCTGAACGCGAATTTATCATCGGTTTGTTCTAGTTTAATGTCGGTTTCGCTGCTACAGTATGACTTTGACTGTAGAAAATTGCTGCCGCAAAAAATCGTTCGGTGGATTTGGTGCAAATTTGAACAGTGTCGCTTCTTTTTAAAAGCATAGAATGCTGCAATGATTCCGATCACTGAAAATCCAATCATTTTTGAAATCTGAATGCATCTCTAGAGACGTTCTGGTCATATGTGGCAAATTCATTTTCAAAAATCGTTCACTTTGCAATTGTTCTGGCACTGAGATTCGAAACTGCTGCGCATTAGTTTTAATCACTGATGGTGGCTTGAAATTTCAATGAGCATTGTTCGTGTATTGGCAAATGGTTATGCGAACTGACAGCTCGGAGTTGTGAACTTGTGGTTAAGTTCAAAACTTTTGTTCATACCCATTCATTTCGGTTGCTATAATCGAGTACGAAAGCGTTGTCACTTCCAACGGCTGTGCTGTTCCGTTCGAAACCATAACTTTACTTCAGAACATGACCAAATTGTGTTGCGTTTTTTCTGACTGCTAATAAATCGTTTTTCGACCACAAAACCAAATACGATAGTCGATGTCTGTGAAACGTTATATATTCTTAGCTGTAAATGAAAATAGCTCAGAGCTTAAGCTTTAACACAGAATTTTTCTACATTGCTTCTGGCTTGCGAATATTAACTTCTTGTCGAGCTATTCGCTCTTTGATGTTAATTAAATCCATTTTATCTTCAACACAATCTTTCGTTGCGTGTATTAAGGTGTTTATCAATTCCATGTCATCTTTGCTATTGTTGATATTGTGACCACCAATACCTAATCTTCCATCACTATAGCTCTGTACTCAGTCTTTGATGAGCGAATTCTGTTGATTCAGTGAGTTTGTGCTGTTTCATTGAGACTTTCAATCCGTCGCACTTAATTCCACCGTCGATGCACGTACACACGGCGCATCCATTACTAGCAGAGAATAAAATTACCCCAACTTGTGATAAACTTTTCGATCGTGCTCACACGTTCGAACTAAAAGCAGAGCAAAAATAAAATCACATTGACCTTATTCAAGGCAACTCAGCAAATATTTGCATGAAATTCAATTCGATTCCCAGATCTGGTCGGGCGTCTATTAATACGGATGCTAATACTTGCACGTGTAGAACAAATATTTCCCTTTTTTTTATTGCGCATTACGTTTGGATGCACTTTACAAATAAAACGAATCTCCAAATGAGAAATTAACTACTGGACGACTAGCTTACGAGAGAAACCAACGATATTTTGCTAACGAACGAATTCACTTCCAACTGCTTTTAATTTGTTCATCGTGACTTCTTTTTACATTTGTTTGCATACAGAGCTTCATTAAGATTTCTTGTTATTCTTCTGTGCGTGGGTTTTGGCCAAATTTACTTCCTCTTCCAGCTAGTTTCTTGGTTGCTTTATGCGCATTCGATTACAAAGCATAAAAATAACTTAAACAAAAGTATCATTATCGAGCAAACGACTCGATCATTATACTTATCTCGACTCTGATCTGCCTTAATGACAATCTTTAAAATGACACTCACTGGCCATTCTCCGAAGCATTCTTCC